ATGGTATGTAGATTTTATTGTTTAGAGGTTTTTTTTAATAATGCCTATTAATGCCACCTGATAAAACTAGGACATATTTTTAGTAGATCAAAAAATTTAAGATGATTAGTGTGATTAACAGGATTGCTGCACTTGCTACAGTGTTCTTAAAATGTATATCTGTTCTCTGAAATATTTTTGGAAAAAACTAATTAAACTCTACAATGTTAAAGCCCACCTACCTCTTCTTGCTTTAAATATTGAAACATTTGTAATAAGAAGTTCTCTAAAAACTAATTTCTTGCTTCTCAAAGTGCCTACATCTGATTGGCTGGCGGACAACATCTTCTTAGAAAAAAGGAAGATAACAACAGAAGTATAAAAGCACTTACGCTTTTTTAATATCATCTAAGGAAGCAGTCTTGGGAAGGCCCAGGGCTTCATAGTACTCCACCATGTTGAAGAGATGTTTTCTGCGGGACTGGTGAGGATGTACACACAGTCAAACAGATATGTATTAGAGGATTCCAGATGTTCAACCAAAATTTTTGAGTTTTCAACCGATGTTATAGGTGGTCATGGCCATTCACCAGATTGGGAAAGCCCATATGGAGACGCAAATGGTTGGGTAGTTGATCCTACAACAGAGAGAAGAAAATGTCATGCTACTTAAATATATATTAGCACTCCAAAAAGATGGGGGGGGAAAATGAACCTACATGTGCCCTGTTGATTAATGTTAGCATTTTTGTATCAAAAAGAAAGCCATTACAAAACTGTTGATACCACTTCTTTCCTTGAGCTGATCTCTTAGAAACAAAGGGAAGACTGGGGATGGGGGGGAATCAAGACACATTAGAATTAAACAAAGATCCCCATCTACATGTAGGGAGGTGCTTCCACTTCTGGTATGAACTGGATCACCTGCCATTTCACTCTCCACCCTTTCTCAATTCTGTGAGTCTTTATCAGAGCATTAAACATTTTTTTAAAAAAAAATCCATTCATATTTAATATCCTTCATCCTCTTGTATAGCAGTTCAGTTCTACTAGTTGCTCCTTCTGCCCATTTTGAAGCTATTAATTTCAGATAAGAACAGTGGCTAATTGAATTTACTGCTTCAGATTTTCATGTTATTGTGTGGCTGAGAAAAAGGGGGATAATTAACTGTTGGAAGAAGCGTATTAGATTTTTGTTGGTTAATCTCGATAGTTTTAGTGCGCACAACATATTTAAACTTGACTTTTAAATTAATTTCTGTGGAGTCACGCAATACAATGAATCAGGCTAAAGCAATCATGCTATTTGAATATATAATCTAAGCCGCAATAAAACAAACCAAGGATAACCTTTATCATGCTAAGCAGCACATTTTCAAGAAAAGGAGAGTTCGGGTTGCTGGATTATTTTTTTTCTTTTTAAAGTCTGCTATACTAATATAGATCATTTTTATTATTTGTTTGTTTGTTGCATTTAACAATATATATTATAAAAGTACCTATCCCTACTTAATACAATGTTCTAGAAAGAGTTGTCAGTCTCGATCTCAGTTACAGGGGGCACTTTTCCACTAGTCTCTACAAGGAAGAGGATTGAACACACTTTGAGGAAAGTGAAATTCCTCACGATTACTTTCCCTGTGAGAAAAATAAAAATCCACACAGCTGAGCACATGTCAAATTCTCTATACAGCCCTGCCACTGATTGTCTTTCTCTCTTACGGACAAGTTTCATATTTGCTGTCCACCTATCAAAACCCAAAACTGTTGGGTACCTTATTGTAGAGGAAAAAACCGCCCTGGCTGCATGTTGGGTCCAGTTCTGAGATCTTGCAGGTGTCAGTTCACACCTGCATCCACACAGTTGTTGACTGATCAGAAGGTAAAGGCAAAGGAACTCAGCAATAGCCAATCATCCAGTTCCATTCCTTTTGCAAAACAGCAGCAGCAACAAGAACCAATGGGAAGTTTGACCCTGATTATGATGTCACCTCTTTGCATTTTTCATATAAGACATTATAAACTAACCATAGATCTCAAGGCAGGGGAAAATGAGAAGAAAAATATATTAATGCCCGTATTGCTGCTGTTTCATTCAACTTTAATTTAATTACAAGAATTATGTCCCACTGAACTCAGTCGGGCTTCCTCCAGTCCTGGAGAAAACTAATTATCTCAGCCTACCTCACACTGACTTCAGACTGAGCTGTGAGGTTGACTCTGCCTTTTTAAACCTGATGGATTAATTTTGCTTGGAGAACAACAGAAGGAGTATGACTTTGTTGTTTTTCTTTATTAGAAATTTATAAGGTTGTCCAACTGTACAATGGCTCCAACTGGCACACAGCAAAAACTATCATAAAATACACGTAAAATTTCCAAATCCTAGAGAAAGGCAACCATGAAAAGAAACTATCAAACACAGAGGATTAACTAACCCATTCTAAGCCACAGTCTGGGAAAACAGCCAGGTCTTTTCGACATAGCCAAATTTATTGGGTGGGGGAAGGGTTTGAATGATATCCTGAGGGCATTTTTCAACCAAACATTTCAATAGTTGACCCTAGGAAGGAGTTCTTGCTGTTGGGGTTCTTCCCAAGAGAGAATTGGCTAACTGAAACTTAGCTGCTGGATGACAGTATCCCAATGCTAGGAGAGAGGAGAAATATTGCTGTTTTATCTTACTTATCACCCCATTAGATTACTTCAGTTACCTTGGCGGCCTAACCCAACATGAGGGCTCAGCCTCATGGCCTCCCTAAAATTTATTCCCAAAGGTGGCTGTTAGAGGAACAGAGTCCATCTGAACTACGATAAAGTGTGTGTTCTAGTGTTTTAATAACTTTATTACACTTATTAAAATATAAAATACAAATGACAATGAAAATAGTGGGAAAATGGAAGAGGGAGAGAAAGAAGTGTAGGGGAAAGGGGGGAAAAGAAAGAAAAGCATTGACTTCTGACTCTTTTTAGTGCAGTGGAGTAGGAAAACAGCATTGCAGCCTTAAATGAAGGCAAATATATAAATTCCCTGCAGATGGAGTCCAGCACGAGTCCAAAAGCTCGGAAGAGTAAAACTCTGGTCTTGGGGACCAACTCAGGTTGGATCGTTCAACTTTTTACTTTTATATAATAATATATACTAGCCATTTCTATAACGACGAACTTATCTAATCAGCAACATCCCAAATCAAAGTTTCATTTTTTTCCAGAGATAGTTTCCAAATACCATATGTTCTATTTTCCAGGGGGAAGAAAATACCTTCTTAAGAGAGTTGTATGCTCAGTGACATTTGCTACGAAGAAGAGAATTTGTTTTTTCTAAAGACAAATAAACTCCTATTTGCTATAAATAGAAGGAAAATGAAAACCCTTAGGAACAACCCCACGTTGAAACCTGGAGTCTCCTGCACAAAATATTTTGACCTTCCCACTTCCTTTAAAATAAATGTTTATTAAAATAAGTCTCATATTTAAATATTCATTAAAATTAGTCTCTTTAATTCTTGATTCCATCAGCCATTAAGTGTTACAGTTCCATGCACAGTAAAACTAACAAAAAAACTCTATATATTAAGAGAAAAGTCACTGAGTGGGTGGGTGAGAAAGTTAACGAGCAAAATTACTAGAAACCAAAAAAACAAAAGAAACCACTATCCTAATTTAATCTATGTAGATAATATAAAGATAGGATTAGAAATATGGGATTTCAATAAACTATTGAAGCATTTATTTATAGTGATTTTTATGAGGGGAAGAATTACTGTCAACTGATTTCTTCTAGAGATAAGTTACATGGATTTTCTTGATCTTTGATTTAAATGTGGAAAACTGCCAACACATGTCCTCTCTACTGTCAAATGAATATTTAATAATGCATCCTTTCGCCCTTAATCTGTACCAGGCCCTAGGCAGACAACCAGTTATGGCTCAGAAAATAACAGATTGAAAATACAATTCAGAAAAACCAGTAGTGGCATTCAAATATGTGAACAATCGGTTCTCTGTGTGGATGTCACTTCCGGAAGTCCGTTCTAGGCCTGGACAACAAAAAATTATCTACCGGTTCTACCAAACTGGTGCAAACCGGCTGAATCCCACCATTGAGAAAAAGCTATCCAAACATACTCTCCCATTGTCCATCACGGTGGTCCTTATGAAGATAATAAAGTCATATAACTGGCCTTAAGCCTTGATTACAAAAAAAAGTTTTAAGTGATTCCTCAGTGCAAATACAGAAAATTACAGCATCTTGTGCAATTCCTGAAAGGATAGAAGATCATCAACATGCTGGTGCCAAGCAAGAACAGGATTCAATTTGCAAACTGTATTTCTTTGAAACAGAATCCTGAGTATTTTGACTTTCATATAAAAATGATTTGGTAGGATTAAGTGCTCTTATGTCCCATTAATCTTGGTGAGAAAGTTAAGATGTTTTTTTTTTTATTTTCTCCAATTAAGATATATGGGACTTAAAAGTTGTTATGGTATGTTATGGAAATTTACCTTGAAGTAAATTCTTTTGAATTTAGTGGATTTTTCTGTTGCATAAACTTTCATGCTCTTAAGCTACACAACAACTTTGGATCACAGTTCAACTTGTAACCTTTGTAGTTCCCCCAATAGTCTTTGTTGCTTTTATTGCTAATTTTTACCCAAATCTTAAAAAGCAGCTTACCAATGGATGTCAGTGGTTATCATTCTACTGTAGTAATCTTTACAACACAGGATTCTGGGAACTGTGGTCCAAATAAAGGTTGAGAAATGCTGGCGCATAGTACCAACAATTTCTTATGATCTTCTGTTTCAATATCAATTTCTGAACGAAACAGTTTTCAAACAGAAATGGCCCACAAGACAGACAGACACACACACACACACACACTCTGCTGATGTGTTCAGTTTGGAAATGCTTCTCAAATAGCATCTGCTCACAGAATCTGAAATACAATATCAACTACAGATACAGATACATACAGGTATGCAGATCATGCAACTTTTTTTTACTACTCTAAGTAACTTGATCAAAACTTCCAGGGTTGCTGGCTTACACTACTTTTATGAGCCTAGTCTTTCATGAAATTACAGCAAATGCGGACTGGAAGGAAGACTTCTACTTCCACCTTTTATTAAGCATCTATCCCCATCTCCAAGATTTATAACAGTTTCCTGAGTTTAGGAGTTATAGAAAGAGCTGGAATGGGGAGTCAAGGGAGAGAAGTTGCCCCTGCTGGGAAACCTATTTACAGAGCCCAGGAGCCTGCTTGAAATATCTGGAAGATGAGGTGTCATTCCCCCTCGTGTATAATAGCCTCTTCTTGAGAGAAGTGGTGGGATTCTTTGGCTCATGGCTGGGCTCCTCTCCCTTCTGGGCTTGTTGAGATTGTCTAAAAACACAGTGCTCCCGTGCAGAAGACGACTTCCGCTACCATGCAATGACCTCATCCCCCTCTGGGGTGAGCTGTTTATGTTTGGAAGTTGGCTGATCCATTTGGCTCCTTCTGGTGATTGATCTTTTGGAAGATAGTTCCCTCTACATAAGAGCTTCCTTGTCCCATCCAAAAACTTCCTCACGCCACTGAGGAGCCCGTCTGGATTATCTGATGATAGTTTCCTTAGTCCATTTGGTGTCTGGGTGTGTGAGTTGTTGCCTTGCTCATCAAAAGGTGAAACTGTTGGAGAATTTAGAGGAGTAGCTGTAATTGAGTTGGGTGCTCCTTCACTATGGTCCAGAGAAGCCTTGCTTTCAACTACTGGGCAATGCCCAGCTGATAATCCCTTCAGTGTTTGGGGAATGCCATTACTTCTAAAAGAAGGGTCTGGTTTATCTTCTGAACCAGTATTCCCTAGAGGGGGTGTGCAATTCTTCTGCAGTTTGTTCCAAGTAGCAGGGATCTCATATTCAGGAGTTGAAGCATCTTTGGTCTCTGACTCATTCTGCTGTGTGGGCCAGTCATACGTAGGAGAGCAATCACATTCATTGAGTGATTCATATTCAGAGGAGGTTTTGCCCTCATCTTGCATTTCATATATTGGAGGAGTCTCGTATCCATAGTGCCATTCATATGGAGAATTGCCATCATAGCTATATTGAGACTTGTGCCCCAAGGAAGCTTCATATATATATTGTGACTCAGGTGGAGGAGAGACTTCATATTCATATTGTGACTCATCAACAGGGGACCATTCGTAGCCATATTGTGAATCGTACAGTCCATATGTTCTTTGAGGTTCATATATAGGAGAGGCGATATATGTATAACGTGTCCCACATTTCTTTACATAATACTGGGGAGATGTACTTCTAGAAGTCATGCCATAAACAGTGTAGGGGCTGGATTCATACTGCGAGTCATATAGGGAAGAGGAAGGATATTCATAAGGCTCCTCCTCTTCCTCCTCCTCCTTCCCAGTTTCAGATCCCCTGCAAGGGCTGTTCCATCTATCATAGGACTCATATTCATCCAGGGACTCATCTTCTTCATCAGCAGACTCAGACTTAGTCTCCAACCCATATCCATAATCCTCCTTGCATTCTGATATAGACTCAGGCTCTGCCTGTATTTTGTTGTCCACCGCTTTTACCTTGTTGCTTTCTTCCTCATCTGCAACCATAGAAATACAAGTCATTGGGTTAAAAAACAAAACCAGGCCACTTGCAGCCCTGGACAGCTAGTAATGCATCCCCACAAGATCATAAACCTTTGAACATTATTATGTGATTTTTAGAGATATTTTTATATATTATCTATATATTTCATATGTGGCCCAAGACCATTCTTCTTCACTCAATGTGGCCGGAGCAAACCAAAAGGTTGGTTACTCATGGTCTACAGGGGGAGGGGAATAGATCTTGCACTTCACTTATATACCAAATTTAAAAAACTGCTTCTTTTGTTTGAGAAACAAATTTCCAAGAGTAATCTGAAAAGCTTTTCATTAATTGTATACCTTAGCTATCTCTTTACAGCTTGCTTTCTACCTGCATAATTTTCATTTACATGTTGTCTTAACTACATTTCTTAATGTAATATGAAATGAAATATGAATATAAAATGTAAGAAACAATAAGGGACACTGAAGGATGCAGATTATCTGACTCTTTGCATGCCAAGACATGTAGCAGAGCATAGATGGCATGACCATCTGAGTCCTCTTAAATCTTTCAGCAGCTTTTGATACTATCAACCACAGTATCCTTCTGGACTGTCTGCATGGATAGGGAAGTAGAGGCAGATTATGGCAGTTCTACTTCCACTTGAAAGTGCAGAGGATGGTGGGAGCAGGGAGAGAGGTTGGACCCATGAGCATATCATTATGAGTGCTTAATGATTCAGTCTTTTACCCTATCCTGCTGAATGCTGATACAAAATTGCTGGGAGATGGTATGTGCCAGTTTAGGATGAAGTGACATTAATATGTGATAATGTATCTCTACCCTGTATCCCCTGAGAAATGTGGTGGAAGTCATGACTAAGTATCTTGAAGCCATAAGAATATGGAATCAGGCTCAATCCAAACAAGACCAGTAATGGTTGATTCAGAAGCAGACTGACTGCATGACCATACCATCAATGGTTCTTGATTAGATTGTTCTTCCCCTGCAAGAGCAGGCTAGCAATTTGGGAGTCCTCCTGGACTCACAACTCACAGCTCCTGCACAAAGAGCAGGCAAGGACCAAAGTCTGTTGCACAGTTGTGGTTATTGTGCCAGCTGCATTCTTAACTGGAAAGACTGAAAGCACTTGCTTATCATCTCTCAATTGCTGTAATTTGTTCTATACAAGACTGCCAGAACTCAATGGCATGTGTGCATAGTGGTCATTGGTAGTTCTACCATATTTTACCTCTGCTTCACAAGTGACATTGATTGATACTAGGCTTCTGAATGCAATGTAAGGGATGGTTTGTATTTGGCTAGGCCCTGGGTATCCACATTTTACTAATAGTTTCTGCCTTTCTTACTTGAACTAGCTGATCATAAGCACAATCACAGTTTAATTTAGAATAACCACTTTGCTTAGCAACCACGTTTTCAGTCCCAACTGTGGTCACTAAATGAGGATTGCTCAAGCAGGAAGTCACAAGCCATTAATGAGCTAAGTTGCCTTCTAGCTCAAGAACATTCCCTCTTCATAGCTTTGCTTTCCCCATGAAGAACTGTTTCACATGTGACTCAGTTACTACAAAAAAACCAATCTACAATGACTCTCAATTTAACATACAGAATAAATACAATTCCTTCTGAAGTTTTCTCTAAGTATCTTGTTTGATGCCAAAAAAGGGATGCATATATTCTCTGTTCAGGTAAATTATTTTTGGAATTTTTTAACAATGGACTTTTCAGTGGCAAAAGAGAAATTAATATAATTCTAACTGTTTCAGGGAATGCTTATGGAACAGCTCATCCACCTTTGTTGACTACAGAAACAAGATTTAATTTATATCGAGTATAAAACTACAGGTAGTCCGCAACTTATGACCATAATTGAGCCGCACATTTCTCTTGCTAAGCAAAACAGTTTAGTACGTTTTGCCCCATTTTGTGACCTTTCTTGCCACAGCTGTTAAGTGAATCACTGCAGTTTTTAAGTTAGTAACATAGCTGTCAGGTGAACCTGGCCTCCCCATTGACTTTGCTTGTCAGAAAGTCACAAAAGTTGATTACATGACCCTGGGACACTGTAACTGTCATAAAGAGGAGTCAGTTGTCAAGCATCGTATGACTAGGGGGATGCTGCAACAGTCGTAATGTGAAAGACGGTAATAAGTCACTTTTTTCAGTGCCATTGTAACTTTAATTAAACAAACTGTTGTAAATTGAGAACTACCTGTACAATCAGTTTCTGAGAAGCTGTAAGGGCTCAGCTCTCATACGTTTTCATATTTCTTCTGTAACTTTCAATAAAATTGTGTATTATCTGTAAATAACAATATTCTCTCCCAGGACACTCAATATCATTGCTCCTTACCAGGAACTTCAACAGATTTTAGTTCTCTCTCCTCCTTTCCTTCTACTTGTTCAGAATCTTTCTCTGGGGACCTGGAAAATCAATAGATGTATTTATGAACAGATGACAAGCAGACACCATTTATGTATTTGTTTGTTTATTAAATTGATAAGCTGCCCGTCTTACTAGCCAACAGAGTCTTTTGTTGGAAAAAAAAAATTACTTCCTGTATGGCCTGTTTTTAATCAGCTCTCTCACTTGGCACATCTAGAAGAGTTGCGGTTGCAGTGACCCGATTTTATGACATTTTTTTTTTGCTGTGGTCCTTAAACAAACACCATGGTTGCTAAACAAACCCATTGTCTGCAATGGGCATTTTTTGCCAGAATCTGGAAGCTAATGCCAGTTTTCAGCAAAATTATTGTAAATCACAGTCTGTGACCATGTGACATTGCAAATAGTTGTAAATGTGGGCCATTTGCTCAGCACCCAAAATATAATCACAGGACATATGGAGAGGTGTTGCTTAATCATTTGAATTTTGAATCTGGGTCATAAGTACTATTTGGGGGGGGGGTCCATCATAACTTTGAACAATGTTAGCAACTGGTAGTGGGTCAAGGACTACTTGGGTACTGAGAATTTGGTATCTGGGAACTGGGTCTATCTACTCAAATGAAGAGAAGGATCAAGGGTGACATGTTGGGCAGTCTTCCAATATTTGAGATGCTGTCACAAAGAAGAGGAAGACAGCCTATTCTCCAAAGCAACTGAGGACAAGACAAGAAGTAACAGATGAAAACTTATCAAAGAAAGATCCGACCTAAGGGGAAATCTTCTGACAGTGAGAACATCAATGAGTGGAATGGCTTGCCTTCAGAAATTGTAGATGATCCAATATGGGATGTTTTTAAGAAGAGATTGGATGGCTATTTGTTCAGATTGGTATAGGGCAGCGGTTCTCAACCTGTGGGTCGGGATCCCATTTGGGGTTGAACGACCATTTCACGGGGCTCGCCAAACAACACAGTCCGCCATTTTTCCCCCTTTTCCTTAGCTGTGCTACTCCCTTTTATTCTATTGGCTTTTGAAAGCCAATAGAATAGACTCTCTTGAATAGAGTCTAATTCTATTGGCTTTCAAAAGCCAATAGGAATTGTCCAGGCTGTCTCTGCCCTGCTGAGCCCGCCAAAAGTCCCATTCTGCAAACGGTGCTGCACCAGTTGAGTAGTCCTCGACTTATGACCGGTTGAGTAGTCCTCGACTTATGACCAGTTGGGAGTCGCGGCATTAAAAAGGTTGAGAACCACTGGTATAGGGTCTCCTGCTTGGGCAAGAAGCTCGACTAGAAAACCTTCAAGGTTCCTTACAACTCTGTTGCTCTGTATTTCCCCAATGTACAGATCTGCACATGGCTCACTGCATTGTACTGCATATAGCACATTGCTCAGTTTGTGTCTGGGTGTTTTATCCTTGGAGTGGACAAGCTTCTGCCTTAGTGTATTCATGGGTTTGAAGTCTGAACATATGTTGTGTTGGCCGAAGATCCTCCTGAGCTTTTCCGATATTTCTGCAACATTTGGAATGACAATGTTGCTTCGTTTGTTGTTTTCTTCTTTGTCTGTTATGGAAGAGTTCCTGCTGGGTCTTTTGGGGGATTTGATGAAGGCTCACTTGGGATAGCCACAAGTTCTGAGGACTACCTTGATGTGTTTTAGTTCTTTTTCTTTCTCATCTTTGCTGGTAGGCAGACCTGTGCAGGGTTCTGATAACTCCCATTTAGTGCTCCAGTGGGTGGTGAGAATCAAAATTTAAATATTGATCCGTTGGCGGGGGGGATGTTCTGTGAACTTCAATGTTAAAGCTTCTGTCTTCCTTAATGTGTACTGCACAGTCCAGGAAGGCCATTTTCCTTAACATCTTCCAATGTGAATTTGATATATCTGTCCACAGATTCGATGTGTTTGATGAACACTTCCAAATCCTGTGTTTTGATCTTTCCTGTGGGTTTGAGTGCTGGGAGATGACGGGATTAGCCATCTTGCTTGCAACTGTGGCAGAGGCTTTTAAAGGACATTAAATTTGCAAACCTCACTTTTTAATCACTTTCAGAAATTGCCTGTTAACCATTTTAAAGGTACTAGAGATCTTCAAACTGGCAAGTTTATCTTCAACTCTCAATTAAAAAAAAGATTAATTGTAATTTGAAATAAAGAGCAAAAAGCTAAATAAGATTTTGATCAAAGAAAGTTATAAAAGGTAATCCAGGTAAATTCAGAATATTGATTTTTATTACTATTAGATTTTGAAACTAATTAATAATAGTACAATAAAAAATGAACAGCTTCTTATGGGAAACAGACTTTATCCTGGCTATTATACTGTAAGTCCCAATAAATATAACTGATGATTTTAGAAACTGAACACTAGAGGGAACTAAAGATTGTAAGCAGAAAGGGAAGGAAAGTACAAGCCTGTTCTTGATGTCGATTAATATTGGGGCTACCAAAATGACACAAAATCTTGTAACACAAAATATTAAAGAAGATTTTTACGAATGGGCCCAGAAATTAGTAATTACAATATCAACACTGTTACTAATGAAGTCTGCTTCTGTAGATAATGTCTAAAACAATGGTTCTCAAGCTTTTTAATGCCATGACCCCCAACCGGTCGTAAGTCGAGGACTACGTAACCGGTTGTAAGTCGAGGACTATTCAACTGGTGCAGCACCGTTTGCAGAATGGGACTTTTGGCGAGCTCAGCAGGGCAGAGACAGCCTGGACAATTCCTATTGGCTTTCGAAAGCCAATAGAATAAAAGGGGGGAAAAGGAAAAGGGGGGAAAAAATGGTGGACTGCGTTGTTTGGCGATCCCCGTGAAATGGTCGTTTGACCCCAAATGGGGTCCCGACCCACAAGTTGAGAACCACTGGTCTAAAATATAGTAATGAAGAAAGACAGATATGGAATAAATTTTATCTAAGAAGGAAGTACCAATAGTGACTTCAAGTGACAGGCTGACATTTCAATGATTTGGAAAAGGATGCTTTATTAGATACACAAAAGAAACTGGCTGAAGTTTTAAAAATTAAAAGGGAAATTCAAATGATAAAGCAACAGAATGACATGGAATATATTTTCTTATTGGATCTACAAAGGAGGCTTGTTAAAGGCTTGAAGAACTGTGTTTGATGGAATAAAAAAGAGAAATCAATATTTGACTGAATTATAGATTCAGACTGTTAGGGGTAAAAGAAAGAAATATAAAATGATTTATTTGATCAAGATTAAAATAAAACTGTATGGTCTTTTTGCTGACACCAGGATTGAAATTTGCTGACACCAGGATTGAAATGTTTTATGGATTTGCTTATAGATAAAAAATAAGATATGGGATGAAGATGTATCTGTTTAACCTCGTAGGTGATGAAGTATTATTAATTTGTATCTACTTGTGATGAAGTCACTTTTTTATACATTTCTTTTTTCTTTATTATATTCTTTTTTTCTTCTTTCTTTTTCCTGTTTCCTGTTTCCTCTTTCCTTTTTTCTTTGCTTTCTCTTTCTTTTAATTTAGTTTAGTTTTTACTATTGTAATTAAAATTCTTAATAAAATTATATTAAAATGTACTAAGAAAACCATGACAAGGTCATATTTGATTCTGTTTCGTATGGAGTCTACTGCTAATTACTCAGTGCTGTTTGATTCATTACTGCATTTGTATACAGTCTTTCTCAAAGTAAACTTTAAATGAAAGAATTTTACAAAGAACTTCAAAATGTCAGGGGATTCACTTGAATTCTAGGCATATTTATTAAGAAATATTCATTCACCTTAGCCTCTGATCACTTTTTTATTTCATTGAAATGCGGACTTGATAATATTTACATATTCAATGTCTAAACCAGATGTGTCCAACCCATAGCCCAAGAGCTCCATGTGGACAACTATTAATGTGGCCCCATAAAATAGCAAATCTTTAACATTATTATGTGATTTACAGTACTATATACATTAACTATATTTATATTTTATATACTTCCCAAGACAATTCCTCTTCACTCAATGCAGTCCAGGCAAGCCAAAAGGTTGGACATCCATGTTTTAGACCATAATGAATTGTGGATGACCCTTAAAATATGAGTAAATTGGGCAGCTTCATCTGTGTATTGAGATATTTACCTTTTGTTTACTTCTATGCAAAATATATCATGAAAATCATTAAACTAGGAGAAATAAAAACTGGAATTGAAATTGCTGAGAGAAACATCAAAACTTAAAATACTAGTTTGATGGCAAATATGAAAACATCTTAAGGAAGGTAATCAAAGTACAACAGCTGTTTTCAAAACTATATTGAGAAAAATAGATTTTGTCAACAGGTAACACCTTTCAATACCAACAAAGAAGAAGATGAAGTAATAACAGACTTAATATTTCACCAAGACGGTATCCATGGAATTAAAAGATGACTGCTACTTAGAAGAAAATCTATAAATCTAGACAAAATGTTAAAGTGCAGGGACCCTACAAAGATACATATTTTCAAAGCCATGCTTTTCTGAGTTTTAACATAATAACATGAAAGTTGAACCATCAGAAAGGAAAATATTGAGATTGTAGGACTGTGGTACTGGAGAAGAAAGTTGAGAATAACTTGGATGTCAAAAGAACAAATTGATCAGTACTAAATAAAGTAAAACCAAATTGCTCACTGGGAGTAATGATAACGAAGCTAAAACTGAAATATTTTGGACCTAATACAAATATCATGCTAGCAAAGATGAACACATTTGAACAAGACTATAGAACAATTGAAGACAAAGAAGGATGCTGACAAAAGACAGGATAGATAATCCTACAGATGGCACAAGCATAAGTGTTATTTACAAAATATCAGAGATGCCATTTCTGACAGATAATCCTGGAGAATTGATGTCCCTTGACTCAAAAAGACCGGACAACTAGAAACTTGGACTTCAGTTTTGTGCTGAATGTTGGGAAGAGGTTTTGTTTGCCTTTTTAAGTGGTTCACTGTTAGCAGGGAAATGCAAAAATAACTTGTCTTTTGCCCATGAGCCTATTATATACTTCTAATCATGGGTTAATATGGAAGTTCACTCAGGACATTGGAGTCCTGTCCAGTGTTCATCTTCGTTAGTATGATATTTGTTTGACTTATTAAAACGGTTCCTCTTTACCACTCAATTATTTCCCAGCATATGGCATCATAGCTGTCCTGCATTGCTGTTTTATATTGCTGAGATAAAATTCCTACCTTTTCCTGGTGATGATGTTTTTAAAACTGAAGACTTTAGGATCAAGAGTGAAGAAACATAAAGATCTTTTGGGGCCAAACGTTATCGAAACACCTGCAGAGGAAGATGACAGATGAATTCCTGGGAATGTAGACAGTAAGTAACACTGGTTTGATAATTTTACTTATTTCTTCCAGTGTCATTCCACTCAGCCATTCTTGAGGCATAAAGACTGTCCTTATTACTCTTATCAGCATAAGAAGAGTTGGGGTTTTAGAACAGGGATTTCAAATAATCATATCAGGACTGGCTCGTTAGTCCAGAGGCCAGAACATTTTGCATACATTGGTTAAAAAAAAAATCTACAGTGAGCAAAAACTGAGGAAAATAAATATATATAAAAATCTGGAGATTGCCCATCTTCCTCATGGAGTGGCTCTGGATAGTGTACAATAAAAACATAAAAACCATATAAATATTATATTCTAGTAGGAGGCAGTTAAAATGTATATAAGATTAGTCATTCGTAATTCAAATTAAAAGTATTAATTTAAAAAGAAAACAAAATCCTCCCTGTGAATCAGAGATATTTTACTTTGGCCACTTAGCAATTTTCACTCATCAAAACACCATTACTTTTTGTTTTATTGCTGAGTTGATATGTAATACTTTTCAAGCTTTTATCTAAGGGTAAATAATAATAATAATAATAATAATAATAATAATAATAATAATAATAATAATAATAATAATAATAATAATAGTAAAGTTGGAAGGGACCTTGGAGGTCATCTAGTCCAACCCCCTGCTCAGGCAGGAAACCCTACACCATTTCGGACAAATGGCTGTCCAGTCTCTTCTTAAAAACTTCCAGTGTTGGAGCATTTACTGCTTCTGGAGGCAGGCTGTTCCACTGATTAATTGTTCTCACTGTCAGGAAGTTTCTCCTTAGTTCTAGGTTGCTTCTCTCCTTGATTAGTTTCCACCCGTTGCTTCTTGTCCTGCCTTCAGGTGCTTTGGAAAATAGCTTAATTCCCTCTTCTTTATGGCAGCCCCTGAGATATTGGAATACTGCTATCATGTCCCCCCTTGTCCTTCTCTTCGTTAAACTAGACATACCCAATTCTACCAAAAGCTGCCCAAATCCTGCTGTTCTTTTTTTTCTTCTTTCTCATTTGTCTTGAGTAGAGACCCAATTATATTATTGTTTGGTCTCCCTTTTCTTTCTCCTTCACTGACCAAGCCCCTCCTTCTCCTCCTTTAGTTGCTTGTTCGATATCTTTCCCATTCCTTCCTTGGTAAAAAGACCATTATGGCAGACACAGCCCTCCTTGCTGACTGCCTCTTCCTTCTCTTCTATGAACATCTCAGAAGCATTTCCTGTTCTGGACAGGGAGGCTTTCTGCTTGGTCATTCATGTCCTTACCATCTCCCACTTGGACTATTACATTATACTCTACATGGAGCTTCCCTTGAAAACTATCCAGAAGCTTCAACTGATACAAAATGAGGCTATGTGAACAATCTTAGACACCCAAAGAATGGTACACCTCTCTGCCGTGAGCTGCATTTGGTGCAATTCCAGGTCCAATCCAAAGTTTAGGTTATGATCTTTAAAGCCCTATGGAACCATCTTTGTCCCATTCCATCAGCATGTCCCTACCCTGTTAAGCAGGGAAGGTATATTGCAAACCCCATAAATTAAAGAATTTTGAGTGGTGGAATTCAGGAAGGAAGCCTTCTCTGATGTTGCCCCCGTTCTATAGCATCTTCTTCCCCCAGAGATGAGGCTGGCCCCATTCATCTGACCTTCTGGAAAGGTTGAAAACATGGCTCTGCCATCTTGCTTGGGGCTCACAAAGGAGCAGGCAGCCGTGGGGCTGGTTAGCACCTTAAAGTCCCTCACCCACACCTTTGAATTAATATTTAATGTTGAATTTTAACCATCTTTGCCTATATTTGAGATTTTTTTAATATTCATTTTTATGTTTTTAAACCTTTTATTTGTACACTGACCAGAGTCCCTCTGTGAGGGAGATGTGCAGTTTCTAAATGTGATAAATAAATAAATTGTCCTGCAATGTAAGAGTAGCCAGGGATTCTCAGACAGCAGTACTGTAAAAGGACTCCATCCAAGCAAGCTTTGCTATTGCCCGGAAACCTGCCAAATCAGGGCACAGCAAGCTGTGTGAGGCAACTGCACATCTACAAGGCACCCTCAATACCCTGGTCTTGCTAGGCAGCATCCACAGAAAATGACTTTGAGGGCACAGGTCCTCTGCTCTAGAACAATGTCCCTCAATCTTTTGGGCACCAGGGACCGGTTCCATGGAGAGAGGCTTTTCCGTGGACCAGAGGGGGTGTGGTTTCATGTGCTGCCTGCAACCCACAGATGGGGCTTCGCTTGTTTGTGCAGACTGGTTGCTGGCATGCCACGGACCAATGCCGGTCCACGAACCGAGGATTGGGAATCCCTCCTCTAGAAGATTCCTTCACTAACTAATGGGAAATGGATATTGCATGTTTCTAAAACATATCCCTGTAAAAAAAGCATATGCTTTATAGATAGATAGATAGATAGATAGATAGATAGATAGATAGATAGATAGATAGATAGATAGATAGATAAAAAGGCAATCACCAGGAGATAGAACACCACGGTTTAATAAATAAGACCAAGCTTTCGGTAATTCCTTCTTGCTTGTATACATGGACCTCGTAACGGGTCCCAGCCGACTGATTCTTACTTCACTTACAACATTAGGTAATTCCTTCTTGCTTACAAGCAAGAAGGAATTACCTAATGCTGTAAGTGAAGTAAGAATCAGTCGGCTGGGACCCGTTACGAGGTCCATGCGTAGAATGCAGGTGCGGCTAGGTTTATAAGTAGGTCTCTTAATTGGCTGGTCTATACCCTGACGATGATGGCAGATCCCTAGCCATCAAAAGCTTGGTCTTATTTATTAAACCATGGTGTTTTATCTCCTGGTGATCGCCTTTTTATCAAAATGTATGTACCCAGGAATCACTATTCTTCGATTTTTAACATTATATATATATATATATATATATATATATATATATATATATATATATATATAGGTCTTTGGTTGTTCGGGTTTTCTCCCGCGTAAAATTGGAAGTGTCTTGGCGACGTTTCAACAAAGTCCCATTCGTCATCTTCAGGCTGGTGTTTTCAGCTTCGTGCTTCGAGGAGCAACCCGAACAACCAAAGACCTACATACAAACACCCGCGAAAACCTCAGAAAACAAATATATATATAGGTCTTTGGTTATTCGGGTTTTCTCCTGTGTAAAATTGAAAGTGTCTTGGTGACGTTTCGATGAAGTCCCATTCGTCATCTTCAGGTTGGTGTTTTCGGTTTCGTGCTCCTAGAATTAATACATTCACACAGCAACAAATCTGACTGCCATGAGAATGGGGGAAAAAATAGGGTCATCCCTACAACAGGAAAGTGTTAGAGAAGGATGAATTAATAAAATCCACCAGGGCAAGATGAACGTACATATTATATTTAAGCTCTAACATGCTTCATTTGATGATGGTCCATAGTATTTAAATTGAGGTTTTAAAATCTATAAATCCACCGCAGATGGTTTAGCACACTCTATAAATTGAATTACTGTACTGGCATGCGATAGAAGGAATAAAAAGAGGTGTAAAAATGGATATGGTGTCTTATAGTCAGTTACTTAGATGGGATGGGCAAAACTGGCAGTTAAGATTACGGGAAGATTTAGCGCAAGAAAATATTATTTATTCTTGGTTCCAATATAGGCAACTAGTAGATAAATGGAAGGTGGATTGTAAATTGGGTTTTCTTAGAGAAGATGGAAATCTTATTAAGCAAGTCAAGGATCAAAGACAAACCCATATCAAGAGAATCTATGGGGTATTAGTTGAAATGGACTCAGAAACGGAATTAATTAAAGACTGCATGATTAGATGGGCGCAGAATTTTGGTGTCCCAGTCTCATTGGATATCTGGGAAACCATTTGGGTGAGAAATGTCAAATTTACACAAGCACAGAACCTTAGGGAGAATTTTTATAAAATGTTTTATAGATGGCACCTTGATCCACAAAAAATGTCTCTTATGTACCCTGACGTACAACCCAAATGTTGGAGATGTGGTTATACGGATGCTTCTTATTATCATATTTGGTGGTCATGCAGAGAGATAAAAGCATTTTGGATCAAAATATGGTGGAATATCCAGAGAATTTTTAGAAGGAGGGTAAAATTTACTCCGCAATTATTTTTGTTGGGCATTGTTACAGATTGTGATACAAAGGAGGTTGTATTGATGTTAAATTTGATTACAGCCGCCAGGCTGTTAGTAGGACAATACTGGAAGAAGGAATCTTTGCCTACATTGCAGGAATGGTTTCTTAAAGTAGCTTATCTGGCGGAAATGGCAAAGATTTCGGCTTTCTTAAAGCAACAAACGCAAGAGAAGTTTCTTGCCGTTTGGGACAAATGGATAAAATTTATACAATTTAGATTGGGTATTAAAAAATATCACATAGCTTTTTCATAAGTTTTATTTTCATATATAGAGAATGTTATATATAGATACTTTTTTTATATATATAAATATAAAATTTTTTAATTTAATTTTTTATTTTTATTTGTTAATTTTTAACTAAGCCTATATTCTGCTCTGGGAAGCTCAGGGGGGGGGAAGGGAGGGTGTTTGTGAGGGGTGGGGGATGGGGGGTTTTTTTTATATGTGATGTTTAGTTTTTTTTTGTATATGTTGTTTTTTGTTTTGTATTATTTTTGTCTTTTTGTAAAATTTATAAAACTTTCAATAAAAAAAGACACCGAGAAAAATTGAATTACTGTACTGTGGTTATTCCATATATTATTGCAAGAGGTTTGGCTACATCCTACCTGAATCTTCTGAAATGGAGATGGAAAATAAAGGGCCTTTTAAGTACCATGGAATATCTTCTTCTTTGTTGGCTGAAAAAGCAGAGGAAGGTGGATAATCTACCTGAAAGGAACAGGCTTATGCCAGATCTCCATCCCCCTGCCTTTGAATAAAAAACTATATAGCTAGACCTCAAGTTACAATCACAGTTGATACCTGAATTTCTGTTGTTAAGCAAAATGGTCGTTAAATGAGTTACACCCAATTTTATCTTTTCTTGCCACAATTGTTAACCAAATCACTGCAATTGTTAATCATGTGCTTGTGAAGTGAATCCAGCTTCCCCCGTTGATTTTGCTTGTCAGGGCCAGCTAGGAAGGTTGGAAATGGTGATCACATGACTCTGGGATGCTGCAACTGTTGTAGATTCATACCAGTTGCAAAGCCCCCAATTTTTTATTACATGATCGTGGCGATGCTACATCTTGTATGTGAGAGGACTGATCATAACTCACTTTTTCTCAGTGCTGAAAACAGTGCCTAAACAAAGGGTTGTAATGGTTGTATGGATGATCTGAGACCTACAGCTGATATTTCTTGGATTGCAAAAATAGGAAATATTGATCAAAAATATTGTTTTTATTTCCCAAAGAAAGTGATTTATTGGCAGTGTGATCAATGTTCTGTGGGATTTTCATTGATTTTTAAAGCCCTGTCTTCTACTGCACCTCCAGTTCCACATTCAAAGTGAATTCCCAGAAACTGCAGAATTTTTGATAGAAGATAGACTATCCTGATGACTGTTTTCCACGTAGGGACAACTCATATAGTGCATTCTACATCCACACTATTAAGGCACAGATGTCTTTTCCATGTCAATGTCATTTGGCTATAAAAATCTACTAATGATAATCAAGGGAAATCCAAGGGGAGAGTCAGAATGGAGAGGTTCTGTGAGGGTTTAAAGAAGAAAGAATAGATGAGATAGGGTCCCTTCACTTAGGGAGGGGAGACCATATAGAGAGAAAGTGTTAGATAAGTAAGGATAAAATAGAAGTGGCCAGTCACTGAGATGCCACTGCAAAGTACAAATGAGAGAAGGCTCAAAGTGAACAGAAAATGAGTTAAATATTATATCATGCAGAAGTAATAATTTCACATAATAATTGGTGTTGTCCAGAAATTTGGGATTATAATTCTCACTAGCCTCAAATAACACAATTAGTAAAAGAAAAGGATTAGAGAAATCTTGGTAGACCAGAAAGGCAGTTACAGGGAAGAGATCGAAATGTCTTTGTCAGACTGAAGGCTGTTCTTTAAAGACAATAACTTGGAGTGACAATTTTTGAATCTTAACTACGTAAGAGACTTCTAATAATATTAAAGACAGGGGTCTTCAAACTTGGCCCTTTTATGACTTGTGGACTTCAACTCCCAGAATTCCTCAGCCAGCATGCACAGCCACAAGTCATAAAGGGCCAAGTTTGAAGACCCTTGTCTTTTAAAGCTTACCGGAATAGGAGTCCGAGGTCCCAAACATCTCTCGGAAAACATCCCAAGGGCTGCGGAAAGTGAATCTCAATTCTTCTTCAGGAACTAAAGGGAAAATAATGGTATTTGCAACATATCACTAATATCCTGAGTTCTTATCAGTGTGGGATTTCTACAAACAGAAATGGGGTATAGCGATTCCTCTCCGTTTTTTTTCACTTCCCAGAGAATAATTTGTAATTAAGATAAATGGATCTCATGTTAAAGTCCCATGAAAGTCCCACTTTTAGCTATGGAGAGCCCTAGGAAAATCAATAAGAAAAAATATTTTCTTTTCCTAGGCTTATAATCCAAAGGAATTCCACTCTCCAACCAAAAGTAGCACATCTTGTTTGCATTTTCTGTCCATTTCATATGGAACTTGACAATAAAACTCATCAACCTACTCTTCTGCATCAGCAACTGGAGCATCAAGTTTGATAATCATATTAAGGGTTGTCTACAAAGTATAATTGATATTATTTGGTCAGTGATCAAATTGTGCCCAAGTACAATCTTTTCTATATCCTCTTCAACTACAAAAATAACTTTCTTCTTTATTTTTTGTCTTCTCACTAATAGTATAATCTTCTGTGAAAGTCCAGTCCGTTTCAGTTCACTGACACCTAAGATATAAATCTGTAGTCAATCAGTTTTTTCTTCCATTTTGTTGAGCTTCCCATGTTCACGCTTCTTATGTTCCATGTACCCACTGTAATTCTGCCTTTGCAGCTTCGATTTTTTTTTTCCTACATGGCAATATCAGCAATTAGACATTCTGAAGACTGTGTTATAAACAACATTAATACTCTGAAAGTTCTTCAGCTCTTCTTCAGTATCATGTTTGAGTGTCATAGACTCAAGGATTCCATAATCCATGTACTGTATTATCAATTGCTTTATCTTACCTGTCTATGTGGATTTCTTGGAAAAAAATAGGAATGGTTTTCCATTGTCATTTCTGTGCAGTATGAAATTATGTCTTTGCCATTACCATGAAGATGATCCTTTCCCTCTAGCATCCTCCCAAATAACTGCCAAATATAAATGCTTAGAGCTCTCTCATTTGTTTCCCATTGCTCATTCTTTTATTTTAATTTCATGGCAAATGTTAAGGGGGAAATAACAGAATAATTACATAATATTTGTAATTGGTAGCAGTGGAGGTATTCTACACTGAAACACTCATAAAATATGCATTGACAAATAAATATTACAATATTGTAAATATTACAATACAAACAGAAGCTTGTACTTATGTCCTCTGAGTATCACCTCAAACCTGTTTAATATCATAAGAAAAGGGGCATGGATAATTGTTTTGGCCCTTTTTCTGGATACAAGATTGCTTTGGGCAGTATGGGAGGTGAATATGTTTCGGAAGGTACATGAATTAGATGGTAGAAAAGCTTCTCCTCACCTGTTGCAAGTCCATCCCCGTAGCAATCATAACGTTCCCTCTTGGTCTCTAAAAAAGAAAGTCATGTACTTGGTTACCTCCCAAGTAAATTACTATTCCATGTTGATCCACAAAATTGCTGACTTAGGATTCATCCACACGCCTGCATTGATGTAAGTTTCTCCTCTCCCTGAGAAGGGAGGCCTGGTTGTGTTGCTACCTGCCCAGAAAGTATTGTGTGTGTTCAGGGCAGCGACTAGCAGGTGGTAAAGGACTCAAGACAGCTGAGATTTTTATGGGGGGGTAGGGAAAATTTTTGGGAAGAAACATTATGCAAAGTCCAAAATAAAACAAATAATACAAGAGGCCCAGGCTAATCACAACAGAAAGATTGGATCTTGCTGCAGCTGGCGGTCCATCGACTTCAGCATTCTTGTTTATTTTTTATTTTTATTTTATAAATATATGTATATATATATTATTTCAATGCTGATTTCAGTGCATAATAGTTGTGTAATATGACTGAAACTCATGAACGTTCTATTATTTAGAAGGCTTAATGTATTGAAAAGAAAAAGGGGAAAGTAAAAAGTCTGTCAGTAATAACTGCAGTTTAGGATGTCAGTACTGTAGCATAAACATAAGATTGTATAAATTTTCATCCAAAGTGCAACATAAAAAACACTGTCATGCACATCAATGTATTGATTATATAATAAGACTTTCAATCTTGAACTAATTGCTTAACATTAATATCTTCATTGTATTGTTAGTGTGTGTGTGTGTGTGTGTGTGTGTGTGTAAGAGAGAGAGAGAGAGAGAGAGAGAGCTATCTAACCAGACTGCAGTTCCATACCAGCATTTGCAATTCAATGCTCCATTGCTAAACAGTGTCCTCTGGTGTTCATTTATATTACTGCATGTATGAGGAATAGTCAGCTTCAGGACCTTGAAGTCATCAAACTCTTTTGTTGAGAGAACTTACTAAACATTGTTTCTCAATCTTTGCAACTTTAAGATATGTGGACTTCAAATCCCAGAATTCTCCAGTCAGCAATCTCCAGAGTTCAGGTTTGTTTGTGTGTGTGTGTGTGTGTGTGTGTGTAAGAGAGAGGGGAGAGAGAGAGAGAGAGAGAGAGAGAGAGAGAGAGAGAGAGAGAGAGAGAGAGAGAGAAGCTGTGTTGTGAGAATGTGTCTTTAATGAAAAGCAAAAGGGGTATTTTCAAGTTTAAGCAAGGAGCCTTTGTATTGGACAGGGTATTGGACAAGATGTCCTTCTCAGCTAGCTCCTCATCCTTCTCAGTCTATTTTATTGTGCTTTTGAATTGTATAGAATAGTTGAATAGGTCACTGACACTCTACAGCTTACAGGGGAAAGAGAGAGGGTGGGGTGGGGGAGAGACAGAGAGACATTGGGCACACAGAGCCAGGCGGCTTCTTACTATCTGACAGCACTTCATAAGCTTCTGTAACTTCTTTGAACTTCTGTTCAGCGTATTTCTTCCTCTCTGGGTTTTTATCTGGGTGCCACTGCAGGGCTTTTTTCCTGTACCTACAAAGCCCCAAAAGGCAAAGTGAAGGCAATTAGAAATCCACAACGCAATAATCAATCACTAAAAGTAAACCAGCATCATTATAGAAGCTATTAGATTTAGGAACAATGTCCTTTCTCAGAAGTCAAGACAGACCCAAATTAGTAGAGTCCATTTTTTGTCCCATCTCTTTTCCCAGCTAGCTGACTGAGAATTACTCAAAGAATATTTGCTCCCTGTGACTACTTTAATATTGACTAAATATTTGTGATTGTACTTATTGTATCAGCAAGAGAATAGATTTCTGATCTCCCATAGATTTCATTTGAAAGCTTAACAGCTGAACTTAGAAGAGCCATTGTGGCACAGTGGTTAAAGTGCAGTATTGCAGGCTAATTCTGCCCAGTGCCAGAAGTCCAATCCTGACTGGCTTAAGGTTGATTCAGCCTTTCATCCTCCCAAGGTTGGTAAAATGAGGACCCAGATTGTTGGGAAAAATAGGCTGACTCTATAAAGAGTGCTATAAAGCACTATGAAACAATGTATACGTCTAAGTACTATTGCTATTGCTATAAACTCCCAATTAGAAAAACCCCAAATGCTTATTTCATTGGGTATCTATTTAGGCATACATAACCACTAATAACTTGGCATCTTTTATTCATTAATTACCAGAATAAACATTATAAAATGTCAGTGCATGGTTTTAAGAAAATTGAGATTTGGGATCTTTTTTTGTATCTTGGTTAAAACTTGGTTTACACTCCAGAATAAAACTCCTTACAGAGAAGAATACTCAAAGAAAAGACTTACGCTTTTTTAATATCGGTGTCAGAGGCATCCCGAGGAATCTCTAAAAGCTTATAATAGTCTGGCACAGCAGCCATTGGTCTGTTCTATGCAGAAACAGGTAGCAGAGACGTGGAAGGAAACTTGCAGCCTCAAGGGGAAAAGTGTTTCTGAGCTGCTTCTGGGGCTGATCATGGCCGCACGCTTAGCTGTAGAGCAGAAGGCAGGTGCTGTGGAAACAGATCCTGCAGGCCAAGAAGTAGGATGATGTGCCACAACAAATAGCCAACCACAGTCCCATCATCCAGTCCAGGGAACTGGCCGAGAGAAGACATAATTGGCTGACCAAAAATAAACTAAAATTGTTCAGAAATTTGGCTTGGAAAATGCCAATCATCGCACCTTTTCCCCTCCACTAAAAAGTTTACTTGTTTGTCACTAAGATGATGGGTCACTCATGCCTATGTTACATCCGAAGATCCTAGGATCGATCTCTAGTTTGCTGTGAGTCCTGTGAATGAATATATTCTTGTTCGTGTCCTACTCCAGCTAAAATCTGCCATACATTTGTGGCTGTAGGTTTAATTAAATAATTATCTCATATAAAGGGAGAAGTGACATTTTAGCTGTTTGTTCCTATGTTCAATATTGCTATTATGTACAATGTTATAAGAAACAAGTGAGGCCGTTGGGCTCCTCGCTCACAACATATATTCATTGATTACCATTTTGAACAATGAATTAAGTCTAAGGTCCCATGTGATTTCGTGGCATAGACTTTAATCTAGGGGCATCATATAAACTGTATATATACACATACATGTACATATAACAGGAACAAAAAAAGATTCTTAGTGAAGAGTTTAGGTAAAATAAATCAGCAACCATCCCATTTAGCGTTCTCCTAATAATAGGCCAGCAAATGGATGGGTTCCCACATCCTGTTAAGAGTAAATAAACCACTTTATATATTAGTTCTATAAGTCAATCAAGCCAGTTGGGAGATTTTTACTTGTTTTAGTTCAGAGCTACAGTATTCTCACCTGCAGTGTATCAAGATCAGTGGGAAAGATCAGCTGCATGTTTAACTAAATACAAAGCTTCATGGAGTAAATTAGTTTAGCTTGCAGATCCCTCATTCATAAAGAAAAAAAAGTTTGCACAATAATGTGAACATAGAAAGTTTCCTTTTAATTATAAACCAGTTTCAACTGGACTATTATGTTAATGGAGAAAAAGAAGTTAAAAGCATAATACCCAGGCACAAATTAGTCTAATAGGCCATTGCAAAACCCAGAAAATTGGATTAATTCAAACAATTAACATAGCTATTGGTTGACATCTGCAAAAACATCCATTATAATAACAATATGGGATGAGAATTCTTGCTTGATCTTAACCATCTTAGCCAATTTTAGAGAGCTATGGTGGCACAGTGGTTAAAATGGAGTATTGCAAGCTAATTCTACTGGCTGCCAGCAGTTCGATCCTGACCAGCTCAAGGTTAACTCAGCCTTCCAATCTTCGGTCGGTAAAATGAGGACATAGATTGTTGGGGGCAATATGCTGACTCTGTAAATCACTTAGAGAGGGTTTAAAGAACTGTGAAGTGGTATATAAGTGCTATTGCTATTGCTGCCTGCAGTAATTAGAAACAGTGTCCATCTTATCTGCATTCTTGAGATCTAGGTTGTCATTTATCCTATTAAATTAAATTAATTGATCCCATTAAATTCTGACTTTTTGACAATAGTGAGTTAGGCAGATTTCTGATTGACTACTTGGTTATTACTCTATGAATAAACCACAGTCCTTGGATAGAGAGGTGCATGAGGAAGTGGTAAACCCCTACTGCCAATATATCTAGGCTGATAGAAGTGATTTGTTGAGTCAGTGCCATCCCTTGTTTCCTAAAGTTTTAATTATGTATCTGGAAGTTCAGAGAGTTATTTTGCAAGAAATCAACTCAGTGAAACCTAAATTTGGGTAAACAGATGAGTGCCAGTGGGTATCTAGGAATATTTTGCTTATATAAAAACTGGGACTTTAAGGCAGAGGTCCCCAACCTTTTGGGCACCAGGGACCAGTTCCGTGGAGACAGGTTTTTCCACAGAGCGGAGAGGGAGTGGTTTTCTGGGCTTCCTGCATCCCATGGATGGGGCTTTGCTTGTTCTTCTTTTCATTAAGCTAAATATATTTAGTTCTCTTAAATCAGAGGTCCTCAAACTTTTGGTCACCAGGGACCAGTTCTGTGGAGAGAGGTTTTTCCACGGACCGGAGGGTGTGTGGTTTTGTGTGCTACCTGCATCCCACGGATGGGGCTTTGCTTGTTTGTGCGGACTGATTGCTGGCATGCCACGGATCGGTACTGGTCCACGGACCGGGGGTTGGGGACCCCTACTTTAATGGACTTCTGGCAACATGTTGTTTTCTTGGGAGCGATGTGATTTGCCTTCTATTTGAGAGACTAGAAGAAGGCTCTCCTAAAGAATGATTATAACTTTGGGTTATCAAGACATTGTCTCGGCCTTACTTCCTGTTTTCAAGAAAGTCCATTATTTTTTCTTGACTCTGTGAATCCAAGTTATCTTCCTCCTTAAACCAGCCTTCCTGGACCTGGTATCTTTCAGAGGTGTTCAGCTTTCATTTTCTTTTATTTTCAATCAGCAGGGAGATTTTGCTGATTGGATTTAAGAGAACTGAAGTCTAACACATCTGGAAACCAGAGTGGAAAAACCCTCTACCTGATGTAATATTCCACAATATTCTGCAGAGTTTGTTTTTTTTATTGTCATTTGTTTCTTTACCTTGGCTCATCCAGAGATTGCCTGTACGTTCTTGGTTCCACCTGTTGGCTGGCTGGGCATTTGAAGTTACCAGCACCCCAAAGCTGCTCCTTCCCCTACTGTGTAACAGTTTCATAGCCAATGGAAAGTTTGGGGTCATTATGACATCAGAACCTAAGCTTTTCTTAAAGATCTGAGAAAAAGTATAATATAAAAGGCAATATTTGGGAATTTGTAAGTTAATATTTTCTATGTAGTCAATCTTTGCTTCTATTCTTAAACTACTTTGCTACTTCAGTCCAAATCTGTGATGTGACCCTGTCCAATAATCTTTTTATCATGCCTATCCCACCAGATATCCCTGCTTATTGCACAATATCAGCAACAAATCAATATGCAGTTCCAGAATGCTGTATGTTTGAAAACTTTGCTTCACGATTATATCACTTTTAAATTCTATCCTGCTCCTACTTTAGAGTCAAATGGAATGTTCATTCTAGCATCCTTCTCCTGCACTTATAGGACTTTATGTTTTCTATGCACTCCATCTCCCAGCATATGTTTCAATCACTTAGATGTGCATGCACAAACACAGACACAAAGAGAGACAGACACACACACACACACACACACAGAGAGAGAGAGAGAGAGAGAGAGAGAGAGAGAGAGAGAGAGAGAGAGGCTTGTAGAACTTATTTACAAGGTCAGTGATACAATTTAATAGTTATGATAATGTGTTACAGCAGTTGCTATATTTGTGCATGGTCAAAAGAGGACTTTTGTGATTTCTGTGTATTTGGTAATAATTTGAAACTCACCCTATCAGGAAGAATGCTTTTGCATATGACCTAACAAACACACACAAATATATGCAGACAAACATCTGGATTATATGTATGCTTTGGGGAAAAAAATATTTCTTCTTATAGGAAGGAAAGGAGAAGACTTGCAATTTTAGTATTGAAAGCTGGAGGAGGAAAGGAGTGAATTCAGTGACTGAAGCCTTGATTGGATTGGATTATTGGTGCTGAACTGATTGCCTAAATACTAGACCACGTTGTACTGAAACGCATCTTCAAATTGCTTAGGATAAGGACAGCGTGAAGGAAATGTAAGCTGGATTTAAACTATGCCAAGAATTATATGTGCATGGAGCAGATTGTAGCATGGCAGATAATCATTAAATAACAAGTGAGAAAAAAATAATTGAAAAGCAACTCTATGATTAAAACTTTATTGAGAAGGGACTTCCCAAGTCGTAAAGCAACTGATAAGTTAGCTATACAGAGAAATTAAATATTCATACTATATTAATATTCAGTGCTAATACTCGTCACCTTCTTCTTCTTCACCTTCTCCTTCAATGCTATCTGTGCCAACCTCCTCATAATCCTTCTCCAGGGCGGCCATGTCTTCCCGGGCCTCAGAGAACTCCCCTTCTTCCATCCCTTCCCCAACATACCAGTGCACAAAGGCCCGCTTGGCATACATTAAATCAAACTTGTGGTCCAGGCGGGCCCAGGCCTCAGCAATGGCTGTGGTGTTGCTCAGCATGCATACTGCCCGCTGAACTTTGGCTAGGTCTCCCCCAGGAACCACAGTGGGAGGCTGGTAGTTGATGCCCACTTTAAAACCTGTAGGGCACCAGTCTACAAACTGGATTGTTCGCTTTGTTTTAATGGTGGCAATGGCAGCATTGACATCCTTAGGTACCACATCGCCACGATACAAAAGGCAGCAGGCCATGTATTTGCCATGGCGAGGATCACACTTCACCATCTGGTTAGCAGGCTCAAAGCAAGCATTGGTGATCTCAGACACAGAAAGTTGCTCATGGTAGGCCTTCTCCGCAGAGATGACCGGAGCATAGGTAGCCAGAGGGAAATGGATGCGGGGGTAGGGCACTAGATTGGTCTGGAACTCGGTCAGGTCTACATTCAGAGCCCCATCAAAGCGCAGCGAGGCAGTGATGGAGGACACAATCTGGCCAATCAGCCTATTCAGATTTGTATAAGTTGGGCGTTCAATGTCCAGGTTTCTACGGCAGATATCATAGATGGCTTCGTTGTCTACCATGAAAGCACAGTCTGAGTGCTCAAGGGTGGTGTGTGTGGTGAGGATTGAATTGTAGGGTTCCACCACAGCTGTTGATATTTGAGGTGCTGGGTAAATGGAAAACTCCAGCTTGGACTTCTTGCCATAATCCACAGAGAGCCTTTCCATCAACAAGGAAGTAAAACCTGATCCAGTGCCTCCTCCAAAGCTGTGAAAAATGAGAAATCCCTGCAACCCTGTGCATTGGTCTGCCTGGAGAAATTGGGAGAAAAATGGAAACAGTAAGTTGGGTTTAGGAAATTAGGTAGAGTGACCTTAAGTGTAGCCAACACTTTTGGACATGCATTATCTCCACTCCTGTACATTAACCAGGATTCCTTCTATATTCTTAAGGACAAATCCAACTCAATCCTACCAACAGTTTTCCTTATCATCAACTTCAATTACCAGCTTTCGGATCCTGTCCAACACCAAATCAATTATTTCTTTGCCAATAGTGTAGTGACCACGAGCATAGTTATTGGCAGCATCTTCCTTTCCGGTGATCAGCTGTTCTGGGTGGAAGAGCTGACGGTATGTGCCAGTCCGAACCTCATCTAGAATTCAAGGTACAGAAAAGATCAGATCATTTCCATTTTAATTAGCTCTCTTTCACTTTTCTTGCATTCTGAAATTTGTACACTTCTGTTTGTTTATTTATGGTATTTTTAGCTGCTTTCCTTGAGAGATCAAGGCTTCTGGGTATTATGATTGCTAGAGGTATGGAATTGGTGCAGCTTTGAGAAACTCTTAGAAGACATAGAGTTCCTAACTATCCAATAAACCTCGGTCATTGTGCAGAGATTTGGGAACACACAATAGTTAATTTTAATTTATTATATGTATGCTATAAAATCCAATGGTTTGGGCTGTCTTTGGATTCTGAAAAGTACTCAGACAAAATTACACATTTATCTCAGAATGACTGAATCAGGTTCCCCTCCTAATAGGCCCCACTCACCTATCACAGTAGGTTCTAGATCCACAAAAACAGCTCGAGGCACATGTTTCCCAGCTCCAGTCTCACTAAAAAAGGTATTGAAGGAGTCATCTCCACCTCCAATAGTTTTGTCACTGGGCATCTGCCCATCTGGCTGAATTCCATGCTCCAGACAGTACAGTTCCCAACAAGCATTGCCAATCTGCACACCAGCCTGGCCAACGTGGATAGAAATGCATTCACGCTGAGAAAAAACAAACAAAATCAATTATCACAGTGTAGAAGTTATCTGTGATCAGAAGTAGAGTACAGAATATAGTGTGCAACTGCAAAATGTGGTGAGCTACCCCAAAGTGATGGATGATTAATCTTCTAAGCAGTGGAGCATTTCTAGAGTCTGTATGCCAACCATGCTGGTTATCATAACCTCGTAGGTAAGGAAGATTATTACACATTTCCTGAAGTCTTCCTGGCTCTGCCTACTTCGCTCAGGTTTTCTGGCATACATCCTGGTTCTCTTCCAATAGTTCAGTCCTGGCACTATCCCAGCAAGTATCTGGGAAATATTCTGTCTTCAGTCAGGTTCAAAGTTTATAATCTGGGCTATAAAGAAAGAATAGTCTCCTCTCTCAAGTTTCCAAGAGATGCAGACAACTGAGTGATAGAAAGCCACCTGGGATAAAAAGGTCTTTAGCTAAACTTCCTAGAACTGATCAAAATGTATGTTTCTTCCTTTAATTTATCCTCTGCTGTGGCTAAAGATACTAATTAGACTAACCATGCTTTACCTGGAAAAGTTGAAGTAATATTTTTGCCCACGGTCTTTTAGGTAGAAGACCTGGGTCAGTACCGTGCGTCAAATAACATGTCACGGGAAGGAAACCACAGGGCTGCTTTTAGATAACATGTTACTTTATATTTTAAAATTTGTACCGATAAAGGGTAACTTTATCCACATTTTCTTATAAATTTATTTACATTAGATTTATACCTTGCCTTTTGGTTTATATCTGCGCTTATCAAACTGGAAAATACCTTTTCTTCCTCACTTGTATGTATAGGTGTAAATTCCAAGCATAGTAAAGCCGCTGAAATCTTAGCACATAGGAGTGTTAACAACCAACAGTTTTATTCCGTATTTGTTAAGCTGGAAATAAGACCCCTGTATTCAGAAACCACTTGTTGAAGTGATGATTCAGTTTCAGGTCATGAGTGATTTTGATGGTAGTTTGGCTTCACGCCTGCAAATCTAAAACTCTCTTTCCCCACCAAGATGCTCTTCCTTGAACCGAGGACATACCTGGTGGGTTACCAAAACCTGTTTTTCGGCATTGTGATTAAGCATCCACAGCTCATCCAAAGTGCTTTCAAAAATATAGTGTTGACATTACATTTACTGAAACTAAAGCTAAGCAAAAAAAAAAAGGGGGGGGGGAATAAGTGCAAAAGAAAAAGACCCCCCCTAGCAACTTCAACTTCTCCATTGCACCTTTCAAATATGTGCAATTCCCAAAATTTCTAGCAGCTTCCTGGGAATTCTGGGAATAGGCAACCTTAGATCCAGAGTTGCTCAAGTTAATGAAAACTATTCCCCTCCGTTGTTATGGACTTTTTGTTTCTTTTCCGTTTTTTATGCATTGTACCTTTTAAGATATATTTCAGCACAAGCCTAAGCATTCTGTAGTTCCACAGAAAAGGCACTGGGATTGCATTGCATATTATATATTGAAAGAGAGAGAGAGAGAGAGAGAGAGAGAGAGAGAGAGAGAGAGAGAGAGAGAGAGAGAGAGATCACCCAGAAAACTAAAAAAAGAAAGTTCTGTTCCAGTTCCTAGGAAGCTAAGAAGTCCAAGCAAGACTCACCATCTTGCAAATCTTCTTTGACCTGGCAAGCGAAGAGCCCAGAGGACGAAAGATGGGAATTAAGCTGTCCTTTGCAAGGCTGGCTTTTATATCATTGCCAGCAAAAAGAAATGCTTTGTTGTTAGAAACGGAGTCAGTTAGCTTTTGTCGGAACGGTTTCTGAGTTACAGTCCAGCTCAACAAGTAATCAGTAATGAAAGCAAAGCTAGGCCTTGGTTACAACTAACAATTCTATTATAACTAACCTGGATTGTGCACATGTGATGGAGAGGGAACACAAACAATATTCCAGCAACAGAAAATTCTCATTATGTTGTTCAGTCAAGATGCCTGGGCAAAGCAAAGCTGAACTTAGTGGATTTTAAACATGATATTGAGCACTGTGTTTTGGTTTAGTTCTCCTATTTGCTTAATTTCTCTGATTGTTCTTCAGAACGTGGGATGTTAATGACTATATTGTCATTTTATTGTTGCATTTTAGTCTGGAAGGCATGTCTAGAGCAGCATATAAGCCTACTAAAATAAATAAGCAAAATGACACCTCTTATACTAGCTGGAGGAAGCGAGAGAGACAGTTTGATCTATTCTAGAGGTGAATGCACCAGGCTAGAAAGCTGGAGACCATGAGTTCAAGTCCTGCCTTAGCATGAAAGCTGACTGGGTGACCTTGTCACTCCCAACTTGCCTCACAAGGTTGTTGCTGTGGGGAAAATGGGAAGAAAGCGCGTTGGTTATGTTTGCCCTATTGAGTTATTTGTAAAAAATAACTAAATAAATAAATAAAAATAAATAAATAAAAATAGGTTGCCAGATTTTTCAAAAGTGTGCCACAGAGCCCAGGATTCCATCAAATGTGATGAGGTTCTGCAAGACACTAATGACATTTAGAACACAAAAATGTTCACTTCAAGACATCAATTTTCTGCCATTAGAGCTTTGCCTTTTGGTCCAAGATTCTGGGAATATGTTTTTTTTAATCAATGAATAGTTTCTTCAGTCTGAAACTTCTGGGATGGTATATGTGGTTCAGAGCATGGAAATTGTGCCACTAGGAAAGCAAATCTGCTTGAGCAGAAAATATGGAATAGTAGCACACTCCTCCCACTTCTCAGCCTAGTTGCAGCTTGACAAATGAGATAACACAGTGGTATCAACTTTACTGGAAATACAGTCTCTTCAGTCCAGTGAGGTTTACTGAATGGACAAGATAAGTTTCTTGAAAAAGTCAGCCTACAGCTCTGCACTTGGCCTTTCCATCCTGTGTAAGTTATGCTCATAAAATGAGCAGAGTACCATAAGTCTTGTTTAAAAGAGAATAATGGTTCATTTCAACTTATCAATTCAAATATACATAAGGGGGGAAGGATCCCCACTTTGATGAACATCTTTACACCCTTATATAGTTTAAGTAAGTGAGGCCTACCATGGCTTGATTTATAACTCCTTTATAAATTTATAACCAGAAATACAGGTTATATTTCCACAATGTGCTAAGCCAAAAACAATGATTTACAAACTGAGTCAACCTTGAGCAGCTCAGAATTGAACTCCTGGAGTGAGCAAGCAGTGAGTTAGCCTGCGATACTGCATTCTAACCACTGCACCACCATGACTCTTGTTGAAACCATTCCCTTGTTATACTGTTATACATCATGAAATAATACGTCAAGAATGATCTGATAGCAGTGTTCCAATATTTCAGGGGTTGCCACAAAGAAGAGGGGATCAAGCTATTCTCCAAAGCACCTGAAGGAAGGACAAGAAGCAATGGACGGAAACTAATTGAGGAGAGAAGCAAAGTGGAACTAAGGAGAAATTTTGTAACAGAACAATTCATCAGTGGAACAACCTGCCTCCAGAAGATGTGGGTGCTCCAACACTGGAGGTTTTTAAGAAGAGATTGGACAACGAATTGTCTGAAATGGTGTAGGGTTTCCTGCCCGAGCAGGGGGTTGGACTAGAAGACCTCCAAGATCCCTTCCAACTCTGTTATTCTTATATGAGTAATAATTTTAAAAATAGCTTGTTGAAACTCTCATATCTGTATGAGTGTTTTATCTTGGTGAAAGGGTGCATCATGGGGCAAAATGTTTTCAACCAAAGTATCTCAAAATGGGCCAACTTACAACGTGTCCAAAATCTAAGACCCATGACTCCCGTGGAATTAAAATTTTGGAAATTTTATACAACTTTTAAGCATAAAGTTTATCATAAATGTATTATGCCTTTTATGACATAATACAAAATATCATAGAACGTTTATGTGGCCAGCTACTGATGTTTGATTGTGCTATAAAGTTCAACATTGGCTACTTTCAAATCAAAACAGATACATCTCTGAATAACTTCCTGAACTTTTAAGAGCTTTTCAAATACATTGTTGTAAGCACTGAAGAATCATCTGCTAAGGAAATATCTGTGAAACAATGTATCGTGTGTTGTCTAGTTAAAATTAAAAAGCAAGCTATAAATATCCTCAATGGGTACATATTGATCAGAAGTACTTAACACTGACATAGCTCTGCCCTTTATCCTCTTGGGAGGGACTGCTCATATCATCAAACATCACATTGATGAAAGGAATGGGTTAAGCCAGGAGCTGGTCCTGCATCCTATTTTCTGCCTGGCTTGCCCCAGACCATATTGGCACATGCACACAAGCAATTTAGGTTTCATCTGCTGCCTAGTGGGTGCATCAACTCCCCGACAGAGTTCATATTGATCGGATTTGTCTAGACTTGTTGAGAGTTTTGTCTCTGGGACTCAGGATCAAGTGACAACACTGCCCACCAATGGTATGAAGCCAAGAAGGCAATGTCTGGCATTGTTTCCAAGGCAACGGACAAGTCTGAACACAGAGCTGCCTTGGAAGAACCATAAAGGACTGTTTGCAGGACAAACAGGAACTGTGCAAAGTGGGTAAGTGCTCCTTTCTTTTTTTTAACTTAATAATTCCAGCAAGTTTGAATTTGGAGAAGCTGGTGATTGATTCCTATCAACAGAAACTAATGGACTTAGCTATAGCTTCCTTCCAGCACTTCCTTTCTTTGGATTGTGGTGGATCCCAGCTGAAGTTCTCTAGCAAGCCAGGCAGCAGAAGCCCCAACCCTAGAGCCTTCAGCAAAGCAAGTATATACCCTGTTCTTGAAACATGACCAGGAAAAGTTGACTTTTCTACTAGGGCATAACCTTATAATCCTAGCTCCATTTTCAAGAACACTTTATATCGTGCAACACTAGGGAAGGAGGAATTGAATGGCAAGATCAGGGTCTCTCTGCTTACTTTTATGCTTGCAGAACTTGTGGGTAAGTGACTGATTTTCATAACAATAGAATTACTGTGTCAGGCTGTGAGATAGGAATTTGCTAACAGCTAGCTCATTATTTGCTTCTGCTGCCATTTATTGTTTTACTTGTTGAAAGAAAAATCTTCATCAGGGTCCAATCCAAGCTGGGAATAAACAAAATGGAGACTGCTTTAGAAAGAAGGTTGTACTTTATTGAAGGGCAGAGTCAGACAGAAGCGTGGCGCTGGGAAAGCTGACCACATGTTGCTGGGAGTGGTGGGTTTTTATACCTTCTGGGTCTCTTGAGGTTGTTTCCTATTCTTGTTTGAGGCTTTGTATTTCCTGTCTCATGTATTTTGACTTGAGTCTGAGTGTGCCCTTTTGAAACTGGTGGCTTAATCCTATTATGTCCCCAAAGGTCATGTCTTTTACAGTTTGGATGGGGTAGATAGATTTTAGAGGTCTTTGTCTTCCTAATCTCATAGCTTCTAGCTTCCTGGCTCCAACCTTCCTGAATGGATTATTACATCTGCATTTTTCCCCAAAAATATTTCTTTCTCTGGATTCTTCCCACAACTAAGCTTGAGGAGGATCAATGGTTTAAATAGCAGTTATAGTTATCACCCTTTTTATATTTTTGCAATTTTGTGTCGTGTGTGTGTGTGTGTGTGTGTGTGTGTGTGTGTGTGTGTGTGTGTGAGAGAGAGAGAGAGAGAGAGAGAGAGAGAGAGAGAGAGAGAGAGAGAGAGAGCTATCTAACCAGACTGCAGTTCCATTTGCAATTCAATGCTCCATTGCTAAACAGTGTCCTCTGGTGTTCATTTATATTACTGCATGTATGAGGAATAGTCAGCTTCAGGACCTTGAAGTCATCAAACTCTTTTGTTGAGAGAACTTACTAAACATTGTTTCTCAATCTTTGCAACTTTAAGATATGTGGACTTCAAATCCCAGAATTCTCCAGTCAGCATTCTCCAGAGTTCAGGTTTCCACATCTTAAAGTTACCAAGGTTGAGAAACACTGGGCTAGAGGGCTGGCATTGGCACACACCCCTTTGGACAAAAGAGAACATGTTATTCCACTATACACCTAAAACAATAGTAAGTATGGTCCAGGAGTTTGGGGCTTTGTTAATGTTCTATATACTATATAGATTTCTGCAGCCTATATTTTTTACCCCTGTGCTTGCTAAAAGATGCAGAGTGCAATGACTTTATGAGTGTGATTCTCTTATGAGACTCTGGTTTTTGTAAATGTCTATAGAGATTCTCAGTCATTCAGGTCATCGTTATCCCAAAGATGCTTTGTCCTCCCGAGGCAACTGGACTTTCTTGTTTTTCTTTGAAGACATTTCGCTTCTCATCCAAGAAGCTTCTTCAGCTCTGGCAGGATGGTGGGGAATGGAAAGATTTATATTCCTGCAGACAGCTGTTCATTTGCATTCTTTTAGCAAGTTGTTAAAGCTACCTGGAAGCTTATCAGTGTCTTCAGGGTCGCCTGAGTAGTACAAATGGGTGTGGAGCTATCAAAAGGATTGTGTTGTAGACTGGAGATAGATGATGTCAGATCCCTCCCCCTCTGTTGAGAGAGGGCTGTTCAATTCTGGTTTTTGTAGCTGTCTGCACTTCTCAAATTATAATCTTTGCAGTTCCAAATGACTAAAAGAGATCAGCTGTTATGCTTCCAAGAAAGGTTATTACTTCTGCCTTTAAACTATGTTGGGAAAGGACCAGGTTTAAGGAAATGACTAAGCCTTCAGAACCTGAAACTGAACATGTCCATGTTTGAAAGGAAAGCATTGCCCTATCCTATATTTCTATGGCACAAGTTTTATCAGCTCCTCATCAACAGAGTCACAGAAATATCTGAAAAATACGGCTTGAAGCTTAACACCTCAAAAACCAAGATCGTGGTTGTCAGCAAACAACTCGTTAATTTACCACCAATAAATTCAGAAGGAATACCGCTAGAAAAAGTTGAAAGGATCACACACCTCGGTTCCAATTTACATGAAAGCTGGGACAGGACCATTGAAGTAAAGACAAGGATAGAAAAAGTTCAAACAGCATTCTTCAAAATGAAAAAGGTCTTCTGCAGTCACAACATAAGCCTAAGACTGAAAATCAGGCTTGTCAGATGCTATATTTTTTCTATCCTGCTCTATGGAGTAGAGAGTTGGTCTCTCATAAAAGGCCACCTGAAGAGACTAGAAGCATTTGAATGTGGATTTACAGGCAGCTGTTACATATAAGCTGGGTTGACAAGATCAGAAATGAGGAGGTGATACGCTGCCTGGGAAAGCCAAGGGAAATCATCAAAACAATTAAAAAACAAAAGTTAGAATATTTCGGACATGTGATGCGACACCCAGAAAAATACGGCATACTCCATTTAATCCTCCAGGGAAAGTTTGAAGGCAAACGAGGTCCAGGCAGAAGAAGAACATCATGGCTTCAAAATCTAAGGGACTGGTTTGGACAAAACTCAGCAGCACTTTTTTGTGTGGCTGCTGATAAAAACAGGATCGCCAACATGATCGCCAACGTCCGATAATGGATATGGCAGAAGAAGAAGATAATGTAAGATGCAACCTTTGCAAAACAGTGCAGTGTAGAATGTTCATGACCAGGATTCTCGCCAGCCAAGCTCTTTTCTCCAGTGTTCATTCCATTCCCCACTTTGTCCCCCACCAATAATTTCTTCAGAAGTTGGTACGCACTAGTTATGTTCAGTCCTTAATATGTTCAGTCCTTAATAGTTTACTCTGAAAACCCTACCCTCTCAACTCCAAGTTTGGTGGAGTGGTTAAGGCACTAGACTAGAAATCAGAGGTCATGAGTTATCGTTAGATTTATGGACAGGTTGCACATGTTCATGGTTTTAAGGGACACAAAACTCTGAAGTTTCAGAATCTCCAAGTTACAAAATTCTATCCTCAACTATATTTACATTTCCAGGGGTTAGGTAGCAGGCTGGAAGCTGCATTACATATCCTTCTCTGATACAGGTAGTCCTTGAATTACAACAGTTCATTTAGTGACCATTCAAAATTATAACAGCACTGAAAAAAGTGACACGATCATTTTCCACTTAGGACCATTGCAGCATCCCCATGGTTGCACGATCAAAATTTGGTTGCTTGGCAACTGACTCATATTTATGATGGCTGCAATATCCTGAAATCGTGTGATCACCTTTTATGACTTTCTTACAAGCAAAGTCAATGGGGAAGCCTAATTCACTTAACAACCATCTTACTAACTTAACAACTGCAACTGATTCATTTAACAACTGTGACAAGAAAGGTCGCAAAATGGGGCAAAATTCACTTAACCTGTCTTACTTGGTAACAGAAATTTTGGGCTCAACTGTGGTCATAAATAGAGAAGTATCTGTATTCTGCCAGGATTTATTATTTTTATTTTATTATTTTTTTCCCCTCGTTGCTATTTCTTTGTGTTTCTTTGGATCAGGCCCCATCCTTGCCTTCTTTTACTGGCTTGCTGCTGTATTTTTAATTGCAAGCCTGAAATGCAGGTAAAATGCATTCCATCTTCACCTCATTAGCTGAAAGTTGCTCACTTGACAAGTTTCTAAACAGGACACAGGTAGCTCCAACCAGCCTGGCCAGCAATGAAGGATACTGTGAGTTTAATTCGGCAACTACAATTTACTATGGACAGCCAGAATAAAAATGTTTTGGATAAATTCCTGTATGCTGGATAATTTTCAAAAGCACAAAAACCGTACTAGGGAGACAGAGAAACTGTGATTTAGCAAAAAGTCTAGAATCACATTTTAGTCTCATGACACAACCAAGGAAGATAGGCTAAGTTTAAGAAACACCAGTTGGATTATTATTAATATTTTTTGCTTCCCAACATATTTTGGGGTAGTAGCCCACATTAGCAATTGGAGGGCTGTGTAAAAATAATATGGCTATTCAATAATTTTATTCCAATACTGAACAAAAGTTGGCATCTGTGATCTGCTAAAATTTATAATTTCCAAAGATACTGGCCAGTCCAAAAAAAAACCTTTACCATTTCCAAACACACATAAAATTAGTCTTGCACATTTGAGTTAAACCATGGCTAGGTTGAGCACCCTCTATTAAACAAATTAAAATTGGTTGTTTGCAGATATGCTCCCTATGTGCTAGCAATCTTGAAAATAATTGGCTTTACATCCTGAGACAATTTAATCTTGCAGTTTACAGAACACAGACCTACCAATTTTACAGTTATTTTTTTCCTCCCACCTATTACTTGATCCAGTACAAAAGCTGGTATGGATTTTTCTGGAACGGCTACTGTTTGACATTTTTCTGCTCTTGGTATGACAACTGTATTGAATGAGCTCCTTTTTACACACACTTTCTATTTCTCATTCTGAGCAATCAAAGCCACGAGCTCATTTTTCTCTACTGATTCCTGGACAATCTAAATAGGTTTCTTTTGCTAAATTGTTCATAATCAGTTTGTTTTCCTCCAGAGTTTCATCATTTCTGCAGTTCCAGGAGTGGGTAGAGGCAATGCTAGTTAATGAAACAAAAATTATTGCATCAACCAATCATTTCCTCCTAAAACTCTCCCCTAGTGTTTGGCTGCCTGCCCAAGCTTTTAGTTTTCCAGAGTAGCCTCTCATAATACAGAGTTTCTTCTGCAACTCTAAGGGAGGAATGTTGACAAACTGTTTACACAATGCTGGCATTTGTCCATCTATCCATACAGAGACCACAAGGAGGTGGCTGATGTACTAACAGGGAAGGGATCCCCTGCAAACCTAGGGTTTGGCAACTTGTTTTTATTTCCTTAATTTAATCTGCTTTTATATTTATAAGGGACAAACATTTGTACATTTTATCTTGCTGTGAAGCTGCTCAGAGTCACCTTGAATCATGAGATGGGCAGAAATAAATTTGATAAATGAGAGAGGTCCAGTGGAGGTAATGGGTCAGTCATCATCAAACAAGTTTAAATATGTTTGGGATAAACCAGGGGTAGGCAACCTTGGCTCCTTTATGACTCATGGACTTCAACTCCCAGAATTCCTGAGCCAGCCATGCTGAGGGGAAAGGGAGAGATTTTCAAGCTGAGCCATGCTGGCTCAGGAATTCTGGGAGTTGAAGTCCACGGGTCATAAAAGAGCCAAGGTTGCCCACTCCTGGGATAAACACCCACCCACCATCCGACAATTTAAAAAAAAACTCAAAAGAGAAGATGGACCACTAGGTCTTTTTCCATCAGTTTTCTATGTTTCCATGTTAGGATAAGCTGTGGAGATAAAAGCCCTTCAAGATTTCTTTCGAAGAAGAGAGGATCTTAACTTCCTTTCAAAGCTCTCTCTGGGCAGAACATTTTGCAAATCAGGGTTTGGGTTGATGATTCATCTGGATAACAACTTTTGCCAACTGAGGTTCACAGATTGCCTTAGGGAAGAAGAAGGCCTAAGATTCCATTTTTTACCTAAGGCAAATCCTGGGCTGAGTTGTTTTTCTCTACTAAGTACTTGGCGATCGCTGCAATACTCCCTGCATATGTTTTACTGTCCTTTACTAAATCTATTGCCCTGCCCTGCCGTCTCCCTTGGCCACCTGCCACACTGTTAGTAAGCAAATAAAGCTACTGGCGATGTTTGTTCCACTCCTAGGCTAAAAGAGAGCTGGAGCAGAGAAGGTACTCGATTAAGATTGAGACAAAGGAATTAGCTCTGCATCAGCCACGTCACGCTATCACTCCACATTCTGTCCCTGCCATCCCCACACACTACACCCAGGCGGGCACACCCACTTAAGTACACTGACTGTTGTTTTAAGAAAAAGAAAAACGGGATGCTGGGAGTTAAGGGACTGGAGCATCAGGAAGGCAATGGGCGGGCAAGTGCCTGGATTCATACTAATCCATATTATGGTTTTTGTAGTTTCCTATTAGCCCCGACAATTCTGGTTGATTTGATAAACCACAGTTTAATACAATCTGCAAATCATCATTTGGTCACTAGAAAAAAAGTCTTTTAATATGGATCATGTAAATTTACCCTGTTTCTACCACTGTTGGCTTTAGCACAGCCATAGACAAATCCTTAAGAATTAGACCTTGGGAGAATTTCATTTATTAGGCTCAAATAGCTGAGTTGTGTTCTCATTCATGAATAATAAATGTATGAATATTCAATACTAAAATGAAAATGACCACTAGCAATAATTTGTATGACTCAAGATAAGGGTATCATTTTAAATTTGCAATCTATGCTGGTGATTAGATTTCAGTGTACTTCCAAAACTGTCGTATTTATATTAATTGGAGATATTCTTACATCTCTTAAAAATAATCTGTTTTGAGAAGGAAGAGTCAGAGACATATCATGTGACGATTTGGGCACATGCACTGTATGAATTGATGTTAATCCCCCCTCTCCCATCACTTTCATTCTATTGTAAATTGGTAACCCAAAAGGTGATCCTATACCTAGGAAATAAACGTTTGGCTCCAATCCAGGCATTTACAATTAAATGCAGCTCATAAAAATACCTTATGTTCTGTGAGGTGCACCAACCAGCTTACCAAATTGGCTAGGATCAGGCTAGAAGATTCCAGTTCTGCAGAAACAAGTGAACTGGATTGGATTGAAAAAGCCTGCCTTGAATGGTGCTGGATATTCTGTAGAATCCACTGATATTCAAGGGAGATGCAGCTAGCAGAACAAGTTGGTCTGTGGCTGAATTGGCTTAAGATATTTGGCTGCCTGACCCAAAGTCCAAATGGTAATTGCAATAGTTCAAAATATAATTTGTGTAATGCTGTACTGAAGTCAGTTCATATGACTTAGATATTTCCTATTTCTTTGCCTCATTGTTTGCATTAATAACACCATTTCAAGTGAATGAACCCAATGACACATTCTGCATCAGAGATTCATTCTTGTGTGCAAGAATTGGCAACAAATGGCCTTTCAGATGTTAGTGAATTGGCAATCCAAGTGGCATGGCAATGGGAACAGGTGCTGGCAGTTCTGCTGAGGAACATCTGGTTCCCTACCCTTTTGGAAAGGTCCATTTCTCTAGAGAAGATATAAATAGCTACATGGAGAAGGAAGGATTTTTCTGAGTTGATGCTATATTATGGGCAGAACCCTCTCACCTTTAACCTGTTTGTGGGATTTCAGCCACCCAATGAAAGCAAGTTTGAAGGCAATGAATCCCTTGGCTGCTAAAAGCTTTCAATTGTTTTCTCTAAGACTATGTATTGCTCAGAATATTAAATATACTTTAAACTAGATGGTGACTCATCTTGAAAAGTACAGCAGACTTGCCTATTTTAAGTGAATAAATCTCATTTCAGGATTGCATTGACATGACCTTCCAGAAATCCCTTAAAATATGGTTCTTTCAACAGGCCTGGCATCTGGTTACATAATGTGCAACTTCTTCATATATATTTCCTCTCGTGCTTGTTTTTGTTAGATTTAATTAGTCTGCTTTTGTAAAATGCTTTTTTTTTTCTGGTTTTATTGCATGACACCCAGAGTCACTTTGTGCAAGATGGGCAGCCATATAAATCAGAAAAAATAAATAAACATCCTTCCTGAAGTACCCACAGTGATATATAAGAAACTTGCTAAGGGCTCAGTTGCATGGCTATAACTCTTCCAAGAAATATTCATCTACTGTAGGTCAGCCTACCCCAGTGTTTCCCAAACTTGACAATTTTAAGGCATGAGGACTTCAACTCCCAGAATTCTGGGACTTGAAGTCCACATGCCTTAAAATTGTCAAGTTTGGGAAACACTGGCCTACCCTATCTATACATTCTAGCACAGGGGTGTCAAACTCGCAACGTGTCGTGACATATCGCGATTTTTTTGCCATTGCTGGCAATGGGGTGGGCTCAATTTTGCCATGATGCATCCGGGCCATGGGCCGGGAGCTTCACACCCCTATTCTAGCACATCTAGAAGGCACTACGCCAGACATGTCAAACACAAGGCCCGGGGACCGGATGCAGCCCGCAAAGTGGTTTCATGTGGCCCGTGAAGCCATCCTGGAAACAGTGAGGGAACGGCCCCCACTGCCTTGGCCCTGGCCCAGGCCAGCTGGGAGCAGTGAGACTCCTCCAGTGGACCATGCCTTGGCACTTGCCCTGGTCCCACCCCTTTCTGCCAGAGACCCACAGATATCCCACTCCTGCCCAGGCCCCCACAGGCATCCTTGATGCAAACGATGTAGAGCTGGCCACACCCACCCAGTAGGGCACACCCGCTCCATCCATGCCCACCCAGTAGGCCACACCCACCCTGGCCCCCTGAGGGCAACCGCAATGCTGATGCGGCCCTCAGTGAAATTGAGTTTGACACCCCTGCACTAGGCTGTGGATGGCTCACCTTGTGCCTCTCTTCTGGCACCAGAATGACTTTCTTGTTTTTCCTACCTTAAATTGAACCTGCCTTCGGCGCCATTTATTTTACCTCCTAGAATTTGTTACTGGTTTTATCTTAGATACATCTATTTCATCTTTTAAAAGACAGTCTTTCAAACATCTTAAGGTAGCCATCATATCCCTTTTAATTAATACATGTATGGAGCAGTATATGCAGAAGAGGAAAAGAGGGCAGAGATGATGATCCAAAGTTTAAGGCATTAACAATGCAAAATTGATCCCCTGAAGAAAAATCTCTAGATTTTAAAATCATCCTATTCCCACCTGTGCCTCATCATCATTCCGTATTGGTTTGCTGCACTGCAGAGTGGCAATTTCAGTGTCTATGCAGCAGCTTTTTGTTAAAGATAAGCAGAAATGTAGATGCTGAGCCCAAGGCGAGGAGAACACAGCCCACATATGGAATGCAGCTCCTGAATGCTAAGAACAACTTAAGGGTTTGTCTTTGTCTCACTCCAACTCTGTCCTATATCCCCTCCTCATTCTAGTACTAGCCCAGTCTGTTTGGCTTCTGACCTGAGATAAGGGTGGTCAGGTGAAAGGTAGAGAGCATGGGGGGAATTTTCCTAGGTCAGTGATGGCGAACCTTTTAGAGACCGAATGCCCAAAAACCGCCCATTGTCCCCGCTCCACCTCTCGCCCTGCCTGTTCTGTCCCGCCCGCCCCCTGCCCCGCCCACTCACAGGGCCACGCACCACCTTCATGGCCCACCACAGATTGCCCAGGCGGTCCTGCACCATGGCAGCCACATCCTCCGTTCACACCCCACAGCATCATCTGCACACTATGGGGTGTGAGGGAGAAGTCTTGTCCTTGCTGCCTGGTTATGGCTGCACTGCTCCATCGGGCTGTGCCAGAGGGGCTGCTGGTGAGGGAGCCATGGGGGGATGCGGGGCTGGGATGACAGCGCACGTGCCCACAGAGAGGGCTCCAAGTCCCGCCCCTGGCACACATGCCATAGGTTCGCCACCACTATCCTAGGTAAATCCTGACTGCTTGTGGGGTTGAGTTAATAAATAAATCTATTTTCTTTTTCTCTCCAGATTTCTTAGGACATGGCTTTCCTGAAAGCTGGCCCAGTGGACTGGAGAACTGGTAGATGATTGATGCCACAAAGCCAGGTTATAGTTGTTGGATTTTTGGTGAGTTGCCTTCTTTGATAAATTGTAAGACATAAAAGGTGGCTAAAACCATACTTGAATCCAGGATGAAAACCTGAAGATGCTTCCCTAACTGGTCCTATTCTTAGCATCTCTCCTAGAGATTTAGGTATTTCAAGCAAGAGTCAGATTTCACAATCCTGCCAGCCTTCAATAGCTTGCTGCTAGTTCTCAGTTGCCACAGCATTATTTATCTATCCTGGCCATTCCCCACTTTTGCTCCCTTTTCGTGGGTTCATTATTAGCTTATTCATCTGTTTGTTTGTTATTACAAAAAGAATATCTAATTATCATTACTAGCCTGACTTAAACTCCAGAGTCAGGCTGTTTGTATACAGGATATCTTTTCTACAGGGACTGGGCCCCAGGGGAAGAATACCTGTCCCAGCAAGCGCAGCTGGAGATGTACAAGAAAAGTGGGACACATGTCGAGACCTGCCATCACCATAGGCAACATTCCTAAGCCAAGACAGTGCTGGAGAATGGAAGAGTCTCTTCAGCTCTGGAGACAAAGGGATGGTCCCAGTGAAAAAGTCTTCCTGATCAAAAGGGGCTGCTCCACTCTCCTTTATTTGCTGATTGAAGGGATTTATAAAGTGAACCCTGGTTTCAGTACTGCACTTGCAAAGCATGAGGATGTGTATCAAGAGATGCCCAGAAGCACTATTTTGCCTCAAAGGATAATGAGTGTAATGACACCAGGATACAGCTACTCAGTTCTCTAACTGACCCTATGGAAGTGGTTTCCCAAGGCTATTTTTCTTAGCTCGTGAGTCTGTCCTATATCTTTGGGATTCCCTGGTGGCCTCTTCTTCTAGTGCTGGCCCAGTCTTAACTCTGTTTGGCTTCTGACCTGAGATAAGGTCAGTCAGGTGCTGCTTTACCTACTCTGACTACAGAGATATTTCTGATTTTAGGCTAGAATATTTGAAGTTGTATTTTCCATATAGGAGCATTCATCTTTTGATCTCTTGCATGCCTTAACATACGGCTTTTCAATCGGTGGTACGTGTACCACCAGTGGTACTTTAGTACCTGGCAGGTGGTACATGACCCCTAGCCAAGTGTAGCAGGGAACAAGCTAAAGTGGCACTGCATAGGCCTGGAGGAGATCAGCTGGAGCTGCATGGCTTGGCAGAAGCCCCAGGACCTGTGTGCACGGCTACATGCTGATTGAAGCTTCGGGTGCACCCGGAAGAGAAAAGGAGGAGGGGGGTGGAGAGAGGAGAAGCCATAAAAGGAGATTTTGGCGAGAAAGGGAGAAAAAAAACACGGAGAAAGAAAGAGAAGAGGCTTTTGTTAGCGAAGCTGTGAGGAGAGAGAGAGAGAGAGAGCAGCCTTTGCAAGCAAAGAGTGTGTGTGAGAGAGAGAGCGGGGGGCTTTTGTAAGCAAAGTGAGTGAGAGCAAGGGGCTTTTGCAAGCAAAGAGTGAAAAAGTGAGCAAGGGGCTTTTGTGAGCAAAGGGTGAGAGAAAAAGGGAAAAGAGAGGGGGAGAAGAGAAAAAGAAAAGCCATTGACTTCTGACTTCCTCTGTCGCAGTAGAAGGAAGCATTAACATTGAACCTCATCTTTTTACTTTTCCATAATATTATAAACTAACCATTTCTATAACAACAAATAAATCTAACCAGTAAAGCCCAAAATCCCTCTCTCCTTTTTTTTTAGTCATCAAGTTTTTGATACCTTGATAAGCACTGGTGGTACTCGAATATTGTCATGTCCTAAAAGTGGTACAATCTGTGAAAAAGTTGAAAAGCCCTGCCCTAACACTCCCCAAATCTTACATTTTGGGGTCTACCATAGTTGAAGATCTTTCAGTTAGCGGAGCCCAGTGCATGGGTGCTCCTTCATCTGAAAGGACTTTCCAGAGCATAACCAAAATATTTATTTCCTAGTAAAACAATGAGACTATTGACTTCATTTAATGCTCTTGTGAAAAGCAGGATGGCGTGATTAAGTCATAGTTATAATAAAAGATTACATTAAAGCAGAACTGAAAGGGACACTCAAACTACTAAGGAGCAACTTATCAGAAAAGGTTAAAGTGTCTGGACTATTTTGATTTTTGAAAAAAAGAAATTTAAAGAGGGAAGTAGTAATTGGTTATATAATTAGCTGACAGCAACTTTGGTGCAGGGGTTAAGGTACCAGATTAGAAATCTGGAGATCATGAGTTTCTAGTCCTGTTTTAGGTGTGAAACTAGTTGAATGACTTCAGGCCATTCACTTTCTCCCAACCCTAGGAGGCAGGAGGTAACAAACAATTTCTGAAAATGTTGCTAAGAAAACTGCATAGACTTGCCCATGTAGTCACCAGGATCAAAACTGAATCAAAGGCATAGAATTATGTGAGTTCATTCAACACGATAAATCATATACTATGATTTACAAATCAGTGTCTGAATTCATACAATAAACTTAACCAGAAATGAACTATATTATAGGGTCTCCACCTGCAGAAATACTAAAACCAAGAAATCCAATAAAGCGAAGTAGGAGGAAATAATGCACAAATAAAACATTTTGCAGACTGCAAATGGTGAAGAATAAGAGTAGTGTTGTTTAAGAGAGGATCAGATAATGTTTACAACTTAGTATCTTATATGGGCCAAGTCAATTGTATAGGCTTTTTTTCAATCGACTACAGATTCAGCACTTTAGGAACACAACCGAAGAACAGGAAGCATAGCTGTAGCCCTCTGTTTAAACTAGGAATAGGTTTCATTGAGCTGAATATAGTTACTTTAAGTAGAACAGCACTGAGATACACTCCAAGCTTACCACTTTAAAGTAGCTGTGATGTTCTTGCAGTTGCTCAGAGATCCAATTTTGATGTGGAGCACCCTTCAAGTGACAACTCTAGCAATAACTGCTTCATTGCTCTATCTAAAGCAATAATGTAGCTAGGGGTTGTTTTTCATTGTATTTGAGAAGTGGGCCACTTCGATTTGTTCAGCAAACGATACATTTGTAGCTATATACTGTAAAATTATATTTGATATACAGCCACTACTTTTTTTCCTTATCTTATGGACAACCTTACCAGTTGTTGTCCCCAGGCCTTGTACGTTTAAAACTGACTTTGAGAGCAATCCCATTTTTAAGCTGGCTGGTAATACTTTTGTGGAGGGGGGGAGGGAGGAAGGAATATGGACCTATGAGATTGTTATTGTTTATCACCTATTAAATACAGTAATGAGACTTTCAAATTCCTGATACTTTACAAAAGAAATAGTTTACTTAGCAACCTAAATGGACATACATGTAGTTAAAATATATGTTATGTATCTTATATGGCCCTGAAACTTCCCAGCCTCTGAAACTTCAATTATTGAACGTTATTGAAGGCTTTTTACAGAAACAGAAAAATGTATTAATACCAAAAATAAAAAATGCATAGTATAAAAAAAATGTAGTACTGAATTGGGATATATTACCCGATAATTACATCAGGTTTTACAGGACGTGAAATACCACCTGTAATAAATCTTTTGCAGATTTCTTCTAATAGCTATTCTGATCTTCGTTAATCCTCGTGGTAAATTATCTAGTATAAAAGAAAAGGGGGGGGGAGGAAACAGCCCCATACTTTGAATTGCTATAATAGAGAAGAAAAAGAGAGGGGGGGTTGGGACCGCTTCTTTAAAGTTGTATGCCCTTCATCAAAGCTGAAAAAAAGCTTGAGCACTGTGGCCACCCAACTTGGCCTACCTCGCTTCCAGAGGAGAACAAACCCTCCTTCCTATGAGTTGCGTCACCCGTACACATACGAAGGCTCAGGAGGAGCGACCTTTTAGGCACCGCCCCCTTCTGACAGGGCTGCCCGCCCCTCCTTTATAAGGCCACTGCGGTAGAGCGATTTGCACCAGGCGTAGCTGCTTCTCACCGAGACTCCGTCGCACCGACTCAGTGTGAGATTTCAGCCTCGTCACTCTGCACCATGGTAAGGGAAAAGTGCGAATAGGCGCGCGCGGAGCTGGCCTAAGCGTCCCGGGGCTGCTACTGCGCTCCGAAGGGGACCCGCGTCCCACCTAGCTCGCCTTTCCCATACCGCGACCTCGCGCGGGAGCTGGCGCAGTTCATAGTTGGTCCCTGTTGTGGACTCTGGCCGTCCCGTAGAGGTTAGGCGCGCTTTTGAGTTCTTCCGCTCGCCGTTCAAGGTGAAGGTGCTCCATAACCGCGCGTAGTGGGGGGGGGGAAGCTCTCCTCCCGCTCTCAGCCCACGTCACCTGCCGAGTGTAACGTGGCCTGTCGGAGAGCAAAGAGGACGAGTTGACCCAGGGCCGACCCGTGAATTTCAAAACGGCGGGGCTTCAAGACGAAGCGAGCTACCTGACTCAGGGCGCGTGTTCTGGACGTGCGGAAGGAGCGGGCGAGAGGCTAGGCCTCTAGTAGTTGTGCGCGCTCAGCGCTCGCCGCTTCTCTTCCAGCCGCGCGCGGGTGCAACGAGCAGGAACAGCTGGTTTGAGGCGCAGGTTGCCAATTGGCAAGGGAGGCTAGTATGGAACCTAGCGAAGTTGGGGAGGTCACTTCCAAGCCCTACTGGCCTGCCCTGGTTGGCAGGGGGGAGCGGGGAGAATATTTTCGTTCGTCATTCAGATGAGTCATTGGGGGGGGCAGATGTTCCTCTATCTTCGACACCACACACACCCTTCACATCCACTGCTTGGGGGAGTAAGAGGTTATTAATAGGCAGGGGGAAAGAAGGGAACACCGGGCTAGGACGCTCCGCCGACCCGCTTCCAGCGAAATCTAGGAGCTGGAAATAGCTGGGCCCCCGTCCGGGCTTCTGTCCAAAGTAGGTAATTGCCTCTCCTGTTTCATTTCGGGATGGGTGGGTGGGATTTCTGTACTTTGAGAAAGGGTGTCCTATATTTAGTATTCCGGGCTCAACGAGCAGGAAGCAGCCCCCTCCGAGGCAAGTTTTTCCAATGGGGAGACTCGTTCTCCCAGCTCCGGGAGCCAGTTCCCTGGAGGGCTGGGGCGTTTTTTTTTTTTTTTTTTTTTTTCCCAACTGCGTCACTTTGTGAATCTGAGCGAATGAGGTGTAAAAAGCGGAAGAGAGCTTTTTAAAATAGTACGTCCGTTTTGGCCAGCCAATTGCGGCTTTCGATTCGAATGTCGGAAGGAAAAGTACGAATATATGCGCCATTTAAGAGTCCCCGGGGCGCCATCGGAGTGCTGGGAGCTGGCTGGCGGGCCTGCCACACAAGTAAATTCCTTGCCCAAAACTTGCTCTGCTGCTAAGAGCCATTAATTATTTTTTTTTTTTATTTTACATTTTATTTGCTCTCACCAGTATTGGTGGCGTTGGAGCTTTTCTACACAGCAAAATCACTGAACTTGTTCCAAGTACCAAAGAGTCTACAATGTAAGACAGGGGTTCTCAACCTTGGCAACTTTAAGACTTGTGGACTTCAACTCCCAGAATTCCTCAGCCAGCAAAGCTGGAAGTTGAAGTCCACAAGTCTTAAAGTTGCCAAGGTTGAGAACCCCTGCTATAAGAGATCTGGTCTGTCTTGGCTTGCTAATTCGTGGTTTGCTGAATAAAGCACAGTTGACTGGCCTTATCCACATACTACTAAGCCATCAAACTTGTCACTATTGTCTGCACTCAATAACATTTTAAATCCGACTATTAATAACATAAAATGAGATATGTACTTTGCTAGAGTCATGTTTTTTTTTAAATTGGAAGGATTAAAAAAGAAGCCAGTTAGGAAGCTTGGGGAATCTTTAAAATGTTGGTGGGCACACTCGCATTCGAAGTGTATGAAATATTTCTAGAGATATTCAGATTTTTATTTATTTATGGGCTACGTATGATAGGCCAGTATATCCATATGAGGAGTTGAGGGTAAGAATTTGCTCAAGGTTATCTAGCAAAGTTTAAACTTGACTTTAGAGCAGTGGTTCTCAACCTTTTTAATGCCGCGACCCCAAGCGGTTGTAAGTCAAGGACTACCCAACTTGTCGTAAGTCGAGGACTACCTAACCGGTCGTAAGTCGAGGACTTTCCCTGCCCGGGAGCGCCGCGCATGCATGGTGCCGCCCCCTGCGCCAGCCGAGGCATAGCTGGCAAGGGGCAGCGACGGCGCAGGGTGACCACCGGCTGGGCCACCAGCTGGCCCAGCCCAAGGGAGGTAAGGCGCCCGCCGGCCCCACACGCGCCAGCAACCTTCCCTGCGCCCACCGGTCTCCCACCTCCCACCCCTGGCCCTCTTTTACTTACATTTTTAGTAGTTGCTCAGCAGGGAGGGGTGGAAGCTTCCAGACAGCTCGCCTTCACTGCAGACAACTTGCAGCACCGTTTGCAGAATGGGACTTTTGGTGGGCTCAGCAGGGCAGAGACAGCCTGGACAATTCCTATTGACTTTTGAAAGCCAATAGAATTAGACTCTATTCAAGAGAGTCTATTCTATTGGCTTTCAAAAGCCAATAGAATAAAAGGGAGTAGCACAGCTAAGGAAAAGGGGGAAAAAATGGTGGACTGTGTTGTTTGGCGACCCCCGTGAAATGGTCATTCGACCCCAAATGGGGTCGCGACCCACAGGTTGAGA